TATAGCCCATACTATTTCATGCTTTTTGCTTTTGAAAATTGAATCAACTTTCAAATTCTTATAAAAACATAAACCTTTTCTGATCTACAAATCTTTTAAAAAGAAAACCGTTAGCAATTAGAATTTGGAAACAGATCTCCTAAGTCAGTAGCATGAATTCCTAGGTGGTAACTGTTACAAAACATATTTAGATTCTCTCTTAGTTACAAAACAAAGGGATCAAAAGATAATGGATGGACGTGGACAAAAACGGCTTTGAAATAATGTTAAGCATTCTTTGTTTCAATAAAATGCAAACTTTGTTCGGTTTACTGGATTAGCCATACGAGTGCATGTTTTGGAGTAGATCAGAAATTTTCTCATGGGGAACCGATTTTGTCAAAAAACGCTGATGTGATTCAGTTAAAATGCTCTGTGGGAATCGTGTCAAAACTCTTGATGGAATTGATAAACCCACTGGGGTGCCTGCCTGCCTGCTGGGCTGGAGCTGCCGGCTCCAGGCAGGCAGCCCGGGCGCTCGGTGGGTCGGGGGGCTGCGCCACGCCGGGGCTCCTGCTCCCTGTGTTCCCAGGCTGCGGGGGCCGCACGCCTTCCCTCTGGCTGGGGGTGAGTACAAAGCTGTTCTGAAACTTCTGCTTCAGGGAGCCTGTCTGTTAGCCGGAAAAAAATAATTTGTTTTGTTTTTTTTTTCTTGAGATGGAGTCTCTCTCCAAATCACTTTCTTGGAGCGGGATTTTTCTTTAATTTTGCCACAATTTGGGTGTGAGAAGGGGATGGTGGGGGGAAGAGAGGCTTTAGAGGGAATGCTTTGCAGGGTGAGATTTCTGCTTTACAGCAGGCGCTGGTAGGGACTGAAGGAGGGGGCTGAAGGGCTACATGCACAGATGGTGATAGAGCATACTGTACCAGTCTGGGAAAATGATTAATCAATACTACAGGGATTTATTCTAGTATTTAGTTCTTTTAATTTAGCCTTCTGTTTCTCTGCTCAGGAGTTCTGTAAGAGAATGTTCTAAATGTGATGCTGATTCAGGATCCTGGTGATTTTTGAAAGTAATCAAAACAGTTCCCTAACTGCTTTTTAGCTGGATCTTCTTGCAAATGGCAGTGAAGAGAACAAATGTTCTATCCATGTTTCTAATTGCAAGTTGCATAAACATGGCTAGGATTTTGATGAAGGGGACTTGTGGAAGTAATACTGAGGAATAGCGAATCATAAGTGAGCAAGATGCTTAATGCACATTTTTCATAGTCCTATTGCACTTGAGTTGCTGTGGGCAACCTTCATTCTGATACTTCCCAAGTTTAGAGAGCTTGCCTTTCTGACTTTATTGATCTCTTAAAAGGAAGCCTGTAACTTCATAAATCTTTGTTTTCAGCAAAATTAACAAGAAAAAAAAATTACCTGAAGTGGCATTATTTACACCAGTGTAATTAATTAATTGAGTTGAAGCTTTTAGGTTCCTGATGCAGATCTTTGCTTCATGAGGTGCTGGAGATTGTTATTGCCCTTTATGGGAGATCAGTGCTGGAGGAAGAAAATGTCTTGCAGTGAGCAAAAGGCTCCTTCCCTTTTTCTCTTCATCTCTTCTTTAATGTTGGTCACCTTTTCACTGCTTGGCTTTCCCTCCTTGTCCTGTTCCGTTCCTTCACCCAGGTCTAGGCTCTACTACCCTGGTTTCTTTTAATACTTACCGCCTTGAAGTTTTCTGCCTACGCTACAACCTCTGCCCCTCTGTGCTCAGTTCTAGTGCTTCTGTTAGGCACTCCCTTCCCCCTTGTGCTCCTTGTCCAAAACGACCTGTCTTTTCTCCTAATCACAGCACGGAAGTTTCCTGATCGGGATGTGCCTCCATTGCCTTCCCAGCTGTTTCAGCCAGTTCTTCCCTACGTGGTAGTTCATCGTATCTTTGTTTCCTGCCCTGTGCCTCATTTAGCTCTTCGGTCCATCTTTCCTCTGTCCTGCTTGGTTGTTTCCCACCAACCTGCTGATGGCATGCCCTCTGCCAGTATACACGTGCTTTCCCTGGTCAGTTCTTAAATTTGTCCTGCCCCTCTCTTCCCATTTCTCCATCATGCCCAACCACTTTCCTGGCTCTCTTTGTTCCCCTTTTTCCCGCCACGGTCTGTCTGTCACCCTCTCAGTACTTGAATTTCTTCTTCCTTTGTGGATATCAGTGGTGAAGTAACTGAGGTTGCTGGAAGGGTAGACCTGAAGTGTCTGGGGGGGCTTTACCTCAATGCAGTGTGAGCTGTACGTAGAGGAAGAATAGCCTTGAGCCAAAGAACACTTGCTTGCCTCCATTGAAATGGCTCATGATTGGACCTGATGTGTGTGGGAGGTTGGAGTACAGGTCTGAAATCCTCAGAGATTTTAGTCAAATTCTTAAAAATATTTACTCTGTATTTGTAAATGCATGTATGTTGGAGGCAGGGAGGACTTGTCACCCAGCACTGAGAGGACAGACAGGTTTTTTTAGGGATCCTTGGCAGAATGATGATGGTACTAAATCGTAGTTACAACTAAAGCTTTATTTTCTTAACAGGATATTATGATTATTGTAGCATAGAACTTATGATTAGAATGGCACAGGATTTCTACAAGCAGAATCAATATTCTACAATTTATAAGTAGTGCAATACAGAACTTGTATTACCACTTACAATTTCTAATCACCTGGACCCTCTGCAGATCAGGTCAAATCTTTAATACATGGTTTGATGTATCAACATAACAATCGTAATCTAGACTTGAAATTCGTATGGAAGAATACGAGTCATTCCCTCAATCCTCGGAGGAAGCAGAGGACGGCAGAGGCATCCCTGGCCATGGCAGCGGGTCCCGGGTCTCCCTGTCCAGCAGCAGCTCCGGTCCAAGTTCCCCCCTTAGGACCGGGAACTGCTCGGTTTTACAGACAGTGCTCTGGGTGCTGTTATGCCTCCCTGTTCTGTGGTGGGGCCATCACCACCGCCTGGTAGCCCCAGGCGCCTGGGACCTTCAAGGCCAGCAAGGGAGGGAGTGATCGGCCTGGCGCCCAGGAACCTTGAGGCTGGTATGGAGGGGAAGAAGAAATCCGTTTGGTTTGTCTCTTGGTTCACAGGACCTTCAGGGCCTGATAATGAGGAGAAAGAGAGCGAATTGTGACCTGCTCGGTCACAGAGAATGGCTGCTTGCTTCCTAAAATGGTGCTAGTTATGCTAACCACATTGCCGGGATCAGGAGCAGGGGGTACCGGTCACAGAACGACCCTTTGAACAGTTGGTTTCAGTGTGAACAATGAGTTTGGTAGCGACTTAAGCAACAGAGGGCTGAGTTTTACAGTGGAAAGTTGTTGACTATATTGATGATAATAGGTGCTCCCAGGCTCCCTCTTGATAGCAGTGACAGGCATTAGTAGCAATTAGGGTTGTTTTATGCTGGAGGAATGACCTACAAGTGATTGAAAGCCGGAGCGTTAGCTGCTAGGATGGGAAGAAGTTACTTAGATTAATAAAAAGATGCATTAAGAAGTAATGGAATGCGTAAAACAAAGTCACTTAAGGCAGAATATCAAGATTGTAAAGCAGTATGCTATAGGATGTTTTTCCCAAGGAATTAGTGGAAATTCTTTTTCAAATGTTTGTGTATTGACCAGATGAAATGCACAAATACCCTTTAAGAAGCACTTTCATGTTAATGGAGGATCGTGAAGCAAAATACTCCTTTAATTTGTCTCTTCTAAGAGAGCATGTTTGAATTCTAGAAACGCAATATATAGCGTAACCTCAAGTGGTGTTCACAAAGCCACTTGAAATAGGCTGCTACTTTTCACTGCCATCCTTAAGTAGGGCATAGGGCCCCTAAATACCCATGGAAATCTAAGTGCAAGGAGCAAAAACTAGGCTCTGATCCAAAGCCAGCTGAAGCTGATTAAGAGACTGCTTTTGGTGACCGAGGGCTCTGGCTTAGGCCACTAGCAAGCTAGAATTGAGTCTCAGGTGTTCAGACAGACTTTTTTGGTTAGTTAAGTCTGTGGGTTTTTCTTTTGATTCACATTTGAGGTGCTGTCTGCGATTATAGGAGGTGTCCCAGTATGTATACCACCTAAAGTGTTACATATTTTCACTATTGAGTTTTAGAAATAGTAAATGGGTAATACTCAACACCTTAACTACACTTAATCACCAGGTTATGTATTGTTCTGTTTTTATGACTTGACACTATACACTGTTAAATCACAGGTATACCTAGTGATGATATACTTAGTCCTTTAAGGTATGCATACAGCTAGAATAGAGTATAGGCAAGGAAAATATCTCTACTTTGCATAGTTTGCAGGTTTTTGTTTGGCTAGTTTTAGTGTGCTTCTCCATTCTTCCCCTCCTGTTAGATACTTAAACTTTTCAAATAAGGAAATGGAAGAGAGGATTATGTTTTTCAGATAAGAAGTGTCTGTAGAGTTGCAAATATAGGTTAAAGTGAGAGGTGATGGTCTGCCTGACTCAGATGATTGTTTTATTTTACTTGTTTGCATGCTTATCTTCTATTTTGGAAATAGAAAATAAAATGTTTACATTTTATCATAATGTTTTTTTGAGTGCAGTCCAAGTTAGTACTTACATTTTATTTCCACTTGGCATGTTGCCCCACTTAGTTTTACAGCTTGGCCTGAACTTTTTATACATGTATGTGGTTATTAGTTATCTGTGTGCTGTGTCTCCACTTTCTTCAAGTTGAGAAGAGTTGGAAAGTCACTTCTGGAGTTGGGACAAGATTTCATTCCAAACATTAATAGAAATGAGAGCTTGTTCTCTCTTCTAGCTGAGCTAGATTGCTTATATACTATTCACCAATAAGATTTTCCACAGTACAAAAAATTTTTTTAAAAACTCTTGTCTAGCATTCTGTAAAGCATCATGAAAAGTGGGTTTTAGCACTTGAGGGTCAAAATGTTTGCATTGGTTTAGGGAGGATAAATTGGAACTTGTTTTAATTAATTTCTTTTATGTTTGACCTTTAGGTTCCAGCAAGATGTGGAGTGACAGTCCGAGACAGCCTAAAGAAGGCTCTGATGATGAGAGGTCTTATTCCAGAATGCTGTGCTGTTTACAGAATACAAGATGGGTATGGTTTGTGTGTGATTGTTTTTGCTCTTAGAATCTTTTCTTGGAGTTACCCAGTATGGCCAATTCTGTCCAACATTGTGGAAGTTGTTTCCAAAGTTCAGAATGATGTGATACTTTGCACTAAAACAATTTGCGCCTTGAAGACAAGTCTAAAAAGAATGGTAAACTCCTAGAAAAAGAATTAATCACTTCAAGAACAGGTATAGTACGGAGTAGTATGCTGTATAGACTGCTGGCAAAACACTCATTAATCAAACTCATGCTAATCGAACAAGTATTAAATAGGTTTTGTTAACTTTTTTGGTTTTATTTGACTTGGTTATAGTGCATTCTTAACTGAATATAGGGTTCCAGGGGGGGGAAGAGTTTCCAGCCCTAAAAAGTTTGTAGGTTATCTTACTGCACAAAATTAGCCATCTCTTTGGAACTCTTGTGGAACAGGTGCTTTCACAAGTGCTTCATTTGATCAGAAAGGTACCTGTCACCTTGGAACCAAGGAATCAGTCACTATTGGAGCTGATTGCAAAAGTGCATTTTGTTCACGTAGTTTGTCCAGGGAAGGTGTGCTTTCCTTGGTATGTGCTGAGCTTAATGTCTTGCCTTTAAAGTTTCCTGCAGTTAGAGACTGGGTAGCAAACCCCCACAGTGCAACTTTCTACCTGATCTCACATCTTCAGCAGGAGACCTGCAAGGGCTTGTGCACCGGTGCTAACGAAAGGCTTATTTACACTTTAGAGAGAAGAAGCCAATTGGCTGGGACACTGACATTTCCTGGCTCACAGGAGAGGAGTTGCATGTGGAGGTCTTGGAGAATGTGCCACTCACGACACACAATTTTGTATGTACTGTTTTTTGTGTGTACTGGTTGAGTAGGGTTAAATCAACTTTGTACTTTCAAATTCATATTACAACTTTGAATAATATTTTGTATCTGTGGGATGTGGTGGGGGTTGCCAAAGAAGTTTTTAATCACAATAGCTTAAGTGAATTAGATAAGTAATCGAAGTAAGTCATGTTGGAGTACTTGATCACCCTTAAAACTTTCATGTCTGGATGGAATACACCCTCTAAAATCTATAAATGTAGGGGGTTTAAATCAGCACTGCATTGCAGAGCTGTAATAATAATCTACTATTTTTGTATTGCTGTATCTATAAAATGTATTCTGGGCCTCCCTGCTGGCTCTGCAGCAGCAATTAACTAATGAACTAACTATTCCCAGAGCGGTGCTGACATCATCAGTGATGCTAGTGCACAAATATGTTTTGACCTGATAAGGCACCAAGTAAATGGAAGCTGCTAAACATAATTCATCTAAACATTTCCAGCTACATACCAAATCCTGGAAATAATGTTTGTCACATTGAGAAGAAAGACCTTTTATTTAGATAAAAAAAACAAAATTCTATTTGCAAGCTATTTAAACTATTTTACTTAAGCTGGTTTGGCTATGGCTAGTTAGCTGAAAGTCTAGTAGGTTTAACGTTTTTTTATATCCTTCTGAAATTTTTATTATTACCTGTAGTAATACAACTAGAATGTTTTTATGCCAAGTATTGCTGAATTTGAAAATGAAACTAAATCTCTTCCCCCCGCCCCCCCCCCATAATAGGGATAATTTATGCTCACCCATTTGCAATTTTAAATGTTTCTGAGTTTCAGTAGTCAAAATTACAACTATATATGTAACCATATAGAAAAGCCATATATAAAAGCCATGTGAGTATTTCCAGTCCTGTGAGTGTTGAATAGAAATGTCACTTGGCTCCTGGAAAAATTAGAAGATGAGATAATCTTTCAGCAGCTTTTGTTTTTATAGGCTGTATCCAATTAAATTCTGAATGTTTGTCTCTAGCATGATAATAGTGCGCTGTTTTGCTTCAGATTTGTTGCTGTTTTTCTTACTGCTAGTGAAGTGAAGCATTCATTCCGATAAATAGTTGAAAGAAAATTTTAAAGCATGAAGACTATTTCAAAAAGGAGTCAATCTTTTATGTTAAATCTGTTTGCTATATAAAAAGGTAGCTCCAGCATCAAAAAAGAGGCTTGTACGTGTATTTGAGGGAGATAAAAGCAAATAGCCTATTCTTAGGCTTACAGAAGGTCTCTAATTATGATTATTTTTGACAATGTAGGTACGAAAAACATTCTTCACGTTAGCATTCTGCGACTTTTGTCGAAAGCTGCTTTTCCAGGGATTCCGGTGCCAGACATGTGGCTACAAATTTCACCAGCGTTGTAGTACAGAAGTGCCACTGATGTGTGTTAATTATGACCAACTTGAGTAAGTAATCACAACTGGTTTTAAGGTTGAGCCTTTTATTAAGCTTACAACTGTCAGTGATTTCTTATGTTAAATCTGTAATTCAGGAAGTCAGAGGAGGTGCCTGAAAAAGATACAGGAGTTGAACTGTTCTTGTGAGACTGCATAATTCATATTCTTTCTGTGCTAACTCAGACAACCAGTTCATATTTTTTTGCTGGACTATGAAATGCTTTCTTTGAAGCATGAATGGGGTGGCTGAGCACTTGACTGTATCAGACAGACTTCTCATTGTTCACAGTTGTTATTCTTAATCAAAACTGGTTCTTTATTATGTGATGGCTAGGGCCCTGTTTAAATGTTTAGATGTGAGTTTAGATGCGGGTTTGTTCTCTTCACCCTGGAAAAAAATGTTAAGAGACCCTAGTTTAATATGATGAAATTGCAGTTGGTTTTACAGTGATTGAAGATAAATCCATTAGTAAGAAACATAAGAGAGTGTCCCAAACAGTCACGTGCTCTTGAATTTAATTATTGATCTATTTGTGTAAGTCTTTGAAGTAGGTTAAGGATCTGGTGTAAACTGGCTCTGTGTTCTATTTGATCGGTTTCAGCAGAGGCTATTAAGTCTTTTAAATAGACTTTCATGTAAGGAATCACTTAAAATGATAGCTTTTCCCCCAAGAATAAATTTAATTTCTGTTTATGTCAGTATTTGTAACTGTTTCCTTGGGCATCTCTAGAGTTTGTGCTCAGGGCTTATGGACAACAGTTCTATCCATTTGGCATTTGGTTTTTGGCATTGCATGGGTGCAAACATTAAAATAAGTTTGTGTACTCAACATATAGGTATGAGTTGTGCATTCTTGAGGAACCAGATGTTTGCAATTTCAACTAAGAGATTAAAAAATTACTTTCTGCAAAAGTATGTTTAAGGCATGATCTTTTGATCCTTTAAGTAATATTTTTAACAGATCTTGTAGATTAATGTTCATGTAGTCTATTTAAAATTTAGAATTTGATCAGTGAGGGGTTGTTTTTGGTTTGTTGGTGGGGGTTTTTTCAATCTTTGAGTGTTATATTGTGAAGCTTCTGGGTTTTGCACAAGTTAGGTTTTTGTTTTGTTTTGTTCTTGTCTCACAGTTTGCTGTTTGTCTCCAAGTTCTTTGAACATCACCCCATATCACAGGAGGAGGCCTCCTTAGGAGACACCGCCCCAGCATCTGGATCGTACCCCTCAGTGCCCCCCTCAGATTCTGTTGGGTATGACCTTATTCCTGCTGTTTAATAACATAACATTTCAGTACTATATGCTTAGAAACACTCAAAATACTGCTTTGCAACTCTCTCTACGTTTTTGTAATCTGGCTTGTCGTGCAAATATATCCACCTATGCTTAACTTCAAAGAAGTGAATGTTTTCATTAACACGAATGATATAAATCAGTAGTAACCTAAGTTAAACATGTGCATAAGTGTCTGTAGAATTGGGGCCTTACCTGTTAAACTGATTTCTTCTGCATTGTAGCTGAGACCTGGTCTAAACTGGAAAGATTTTATACTTAAAATTAATACAAACCAAAACTATATCCTCACAAATTCTTTTAGTTTGTGTTATCAAACTACAGTTTATTTGCCTTGAAGTGACATACCTCTGTTTCGGAATAAGCCACGCCACCATAAGATTGGTGTGAACAGATGCCAATTCCAGGTTCCTAATACTGCTTTAGTAGCTTTTCCACATACCCATTGCTTTAGTGTCCTCCAGACCAGCCATCTTCCTCCTATTTAGATGTTGGGATATACTCATAGCATCCATTTGCTGCAGATCCAGGTTTTGTAAAATTAGACTTCTAAAAGTTACCACAGCCTCCATCCCCTGTATTTCCAACAAAGATTCTGGACCCTGTCTCTGTGAGGAGATAAGTGATCATATTCAGGTTATGTTCCCAGTAGCTAAGAGATCACTGCCACCACCCAGCACTAGTAGATAGTTGAACAAATCTCCAGGAAAGAGTAACTCAAGGATGTGTATCAAAGTCAAGAAACCTGATGCAGAGTTATTAAGAACACCAAATACAAAAGCCTTCAGAAAAACATTCCTAGGACATGTGTGCTGCATGGAGATGAGCTGAATTTGACAGAGAGGCTCTCTTGGAATAGTGAGCATTGTGCCCAGACTAAAGCAGAAACACATCTGGAAGCTACACAGGCACCTATGGACTCTAACTAGAAGAGAAATTCCCTGGACAGCCAAGACTATTTTACGAAAGATCAAATATGATGCCTTCCAGGAAAATAGACTGACAGTCCTGCAGAGGGAACTTCATTTGGTAAGTATAAAGAGAGGTGATGTTCTTATTTGTACTATTTTGTGCAGTTTCAAGTGAATTTTGAAGTGCCTCTTCCAAGTAGTGAATGTTGCCTCTATATCCCGTGGATGTTAGTACAGCAGATTGTGGACAGGGCTGTTGCTGAGGTTCTCTAAGCTAAGCAGGCTCTGCCTTTCTTATGGTACAGCTGAAATTATAACCATGCTAGAACTATTAATCTGTGAAGAAACTTGTTCATAGCAACTGTTAAATGCCTGCAGATGCCAAAGGGACTATATACCCCAATCCTAATACTAGTATATGCTAAATTTTCCTACTTTCCAGTTGCCTCTGCCTCACATTTGTGCTTTCTTACCAGTTTTCGAAAGATACGACAGGATGGATTAACTTAATTGATACATGCACTACTTCAGGCAGTCTTAGTTTTGTGAAGTAAAAACTTAAAGGAAAAACTGAGACCAAAGCTGGTTAATGCCTTAAGGTTTTTAACTTCACATATATAAAAATATTAACATTTAAATATACTTGCCAGTTGAGGTTAAGGAGCTTTTCCTAAGTGTCGCATCTGTAAATGTTTGTGGTTGCAGGAGCTGTAAACGGTTTCTAGCTTTCTACTTTTTGCTTTTTTGCCTTGCTGTACACCTCATTATTCAATGGAGGGGAAAAAAAAAAGCATACATCATGCCTTCAAAATTCTGTTTTGAAAATCGTTTATGATTATCAGCTGGTGTTCATAAGTAGTATGCATGTTACAAAGTCATGCATTTTCCCCAAGCATCTATGTTTGTAGTATTTCTTTTCCAGAAGCAGCTCAGATGCTATTGTATGAGCACATAGCACCATCCATACCTTTCTCCAGTTACCCTTTGCCTTTCTTTACTAATACGTCTCTGCTTTTTAAAGACATAACTGTGGAAATATTAATTTATCTCAATTTTTTTTAGAGTAAAAAAAAAAAAGATGCAGGCCTTTTCTATGAAAACATATACTTACCCGTGGTTTTGTTAAAGGGTACTGCTACCATATGGGACAACAGTTCAGCTGGAATAAAAAAAAAAGGTCTGACATTTGAGGTTATCTTGTATGGGAAGAGATTAAGGGATTGAAATTTGAGAGTTGGGCAATGGGATTGAAAATATGAGGAACTAGCGCTTTATTAAGAGTTACTAGTTTAATAATTGTTCCTTTCATTTCTCTGTTCTCCTAGCATCTTGCATGGCACAGCCCACAGAAGAAGGGATGTTACTAATCTTTTGGTAAACATGAGGAAAGACAAGGCAAACATCCTTCTTCATCTTTAGCCTTGTGAAGGGATTCCAGCAGCAGGCAAAGTGCTCAAAGGAAGGAAGAGTTTGTGTTGCAAGACAAGCTCAAGAGCAAAGGCGTGTATGACATGCTGAGAAGTTCTCAAGAGATCAAATGGAGAAGTTGGAAAGAGAAAGGGACATAAAGGAAAAGACCATTGGACATGATGCAAAAGCTGCTAAACATGCTGGAGAACTTTGTTTCACTTTGCTCATGTGTAACATCCTAAAGCAGTCCAGTCCTGTAGCCTTTCATTCTTCCAACTGTAAGCCACAGGCAGTCCCTCCAGATGTTCTTCCCCAAGAGAAGGGAGCAAATACTGTCCCACTTGCGCATTTCTGAACCCCTTATAAAAATGTGTCCAGCCTCCACATTAGGTCTCTTGTCCCATTTTAGTTTTTTCAGTTTGCACTATCCTGTTGTGCCAAAACAGTCATTTTAGCTATAATCTGCACTTAACTGGGAAGAATTTCTAAAGTGTAGGTCTCCCTAATAGCCATTTGTAATAAAATTGAAGTACGCAAACTATATATAATACATTGTATTCATTTCATTCATTGCACTATCATATCAAGTTTCTTCTGTATCTTTGCTCGTAAAATATGAGCACAGAATTTCTGTGAACCCAGTTCCCTGGATCTTACAGATATATGAAAAGGAGAGAGATTAGCTATTCAGAATATTCCAAAGTTGTCTTTTTCAACTTCCACCTGTTCTCTCAGATGTTGTGATGTTGGGCAAAACTCAGCAAACTCATGAGGCAGATGTTATGGCAGGGTAAGTAACCTGTGGAGTGGGTGGTAAGGGGGTGCGTGGTCAGAATTTGAGTAGCACAGAGGCAGGTTGGACTCGATAGAAACTGAGAGTTTCTGCTTTGCTTGGGGCAGAACACTGCAAGTAAGCAGGTTGGCAACATCTTGGCTCTTTGAAAAGCAACATTTTCCAACATGCTTGATCTTCTAAATTTGAGGAAGAAAGGGGGACTGTCTGGTGCACCATTCTTGGAAGCTTGCCAGTCCCTGTCTTAGAGCAGGCTCCAGCCTGTGATTAAACACCTCTGCTTTCCTTTCTGTCTTCCAAATGTTCACTGATCATTCTGCCTCAGCTGAAGATGTTTATATGTCTAGAAAAGCTTCTGAAAAGCCAAGGAAATAAAGACACAGTCTTATAATATTGTATTTAGTACTACAACACCATTTAGATCCCTGTATGTTTTAAGTGGTCAAAACCTTTGTGTTTCATTGCATAAAACAATGATGACCTTTTCCCCTAAAAATTCGGGCACCAGACCTTTTCCAGACCACTCAATGTAAATGTTAGCAAACTTACTACAATATCCAGTTTGATTACCAGAATCTTTAGAAAAATCATCTGCAGTCTGTACAGCAGGTGAAGGAAACCTCTTGGTCCCCAAGACTTTATTTGCAAAAGCATGCTAGTGAACTGCAACCTGGTTTGGAGGAGTAATGACAGCTGTGGGGGTTCTCTTGATAGCCCCTGGTATATGAAGCTATCGGAAATTTTAGGAAAGCATTGCTAAGCTTTGATCTGGGCCCAGAGGCCAGTATAAATGCACACTGTTGTGATAATCCTGGCAATTGTTTTATACCTAGAAGACAACATGGATGAAAACAAGTTGTCATGGTATGGAAAAATGCACTAATCCGTATGAAGTTATGACTGTTACAGATCTGTCCCATGATGCTTTTAGACTGACTTCACAGGATGCTGTAAGAGTGATCTTCTCTAGCTTGTAGTTACAAACTTGTACTGCTATCCTTTTCCTCAAGTCAGCATTTGATTTGGGCTTATTGACGATTTCCAGGCTGCAGAGGTGGGGTAAGAAAAAAATTACTTTGTTTTCTGGCAATGTCTATGGAGTACCACAATAATTAAATTAGAACATGTTCGGCCTCCAAAATTTACAGATTACCTGCTTGCTAGTGGAGCAGAAACACCATTGTATCCCAGATCCTTAGCAGTCCTTAGAAACTGCTTGAAAATGGAAGTGCGCTGTGTTCTTCATTAACAGCAGTAACAAAAACCAAAGCCAATCATACTCTGGTGTAAACAAACAAACAAAAAAAGCCTTGGTATGCATATTAGCTTGCAATAGGTTTGGCTTTGGTATGAGTGTGCAGTCTACCAGGTGGATAGTGTGTACTACACTGAGCCCTGTGGCTAAACTGAGATGCAGTTGTTCAGACTGGGAGGCGGAGAAGAAAAATCTCAATCTAGTAGAGATGCTGTCATTTTAAAAGGGAAATGGCACACCCTATAACTGAAGCTAGGTGAATGTGAATTTTCAGTTTAAGTATTTGCCAAACTACAACAAAATAAAAATCCAAGCATAAAAATCTTGAAGCCTAACCAACACTCTTAAGAAAAATCTTTCCTGAGTAGACCAGCTCTTAAATGTATGAAATATCACATTGGTGAGTTAAAGGAAATTGAGTAAAATCTGTATTAAATTTTTCTTTTGTATTTGTAAACTAATTTGTAAAGTAAACTAACTTCTGTCATTGCAAGTTCTAAGATCCGGCAGAGGTTTTATAAAATTGTTTGTTTATATAAAACTTAGCAAGTGTGGGCACTCTTCTGAGTTACCTTCTTCTTTCCCGTGGACCCAATTTTGTAGACACATTGGCACTTGCTGTGATTGGCAAGGGGTAAAAATGTACATCTGTCTGCAATTACTCTTGTCTCCTGACAAAACCTCTTTTCTATTTTGTCTTGATAAAAAGGGAGGGAACAGTGTGCTTATCCCAAATATGTGGTCCAAGGAAAAAGCATGCTCTGTCATACTAGCAGAAAAGGTTATAACATATTAAATTGGGATTTGACAACTCTTATCAGCTTGTTGCCTGGGAAGCTGAGAATCGTTTGTTAAAGGAATACCCTCATCTAAGAGGCTGGAAGAAAGTGTGCAAGATGAGGTGGTATAACCTCTCTAATATGTCAGAATATTGACGTTCTTATTTGTAGAAGGTCTCCTCTAGCTAGCAGGTTGGCTGTTAACTGCTTACAAAGGCCACAGGAGCAACAGAAACTTGGATTCTGATATTTAAACTGCTGTTCGTTTAAGCTCTGGCCTGCTGTACATGTATGCCACAGTAAACAGTTCTTTGCAGTAGTCGTGTTCTGGTCCTCTTGTTTTCTTGGGTTTTTGGGGTTGGGGGTTTTTTTTGACAATATGTATGTTGGCACAATGTTTGCATAGCCTACAGAACTAGTTTTGTAACTTGACTGGAATAGACAATGTCACCCTTTTCCAAATAATGATGATTGGTCCTTTTAGCTCCAGTGTGCCTTCTACCCTCCTGGAGTAATTAAAATTTAGGAATACTATAAGAACAGGCTTTTGTAGCTAAGAGGATTGCTGCATTCTTTGTGGTGATGTGTTTTCTGTAAATCACGATCTTGATGCAGATCAAGATACAGCTTTTGCCACACAGGCAGAGGCTGGTGGTAATCTCTTCTGGGCTTGTGATCTCAGTAGGCCACCTTGGCTAGCAAACCGCTTATGTCTTTCTCTTTACTAGTTAACTTTTTCAAGAAAATTTCCATTTAGCAAAAATAACCTACCTTTTTGTAAGTGTCCTAAGGACACCCATTAATGAAATCCTGATTGTATAGATGGAGCACACAGCTAACTGCTCATGAGATTCCCATCTCTGGATTCTTTGGTGTCTAAAGCTCAGAGATCCTCCCGATAATAGTTTAGAGACTCCAAAAAAAGAGAGTTCTTTCTCAGCCTGTGATTGTTTTCTAAAGATCTGAACTTCCCCCAGTTAGAATTTAATGAGTAGAAAAAGCTATTCAAATTGTTTTCAAACATGGTATGACATAGCATGCTATCTGTGCTAGCAGCATGATGGGCATGATGACCTGTGACCAGAAATACAGAAGTATTTGCAGATTCCCTTACCAGATGACCATTTATGACTCAAAGGAGGATGTAATTGAAACAATATTTCTGCAGTTTGGTTTTCTCTCCCTTGGCTTACTCATGATCACAGAAAATCTGATTGCTTCTGGTTTTGTGTGGCAGAGCTCAAATGCTGTCTCACTGTCACTCCTAGTGCAATGATCTGATGTTTGTTGTTACACATTTCCCTTAATTTCATTATTACTGAGAGCTCTCAGGAAGTTGGAGAAGGGAGTTAGCTATCCCAACAGTACTGGCCTGACTGAGACACTTTTCAGGCTTTTTCTTCTGAAATCCTTCTGTGCAGCATCTGACATGCTTGCCTTAACATGGAAATACAGTGCTTTAGAATGTCAACCAAGTCCTGCACTTGTAGCTGTGCAGTGTCGCATGTCCTGATGTGGGTTCTAGTTGCATGATTTCCTTACAAAAATGTTCAGGAGTTCAAAACTTCCTCATCTACAGTAGAAAAGATTTTACCCAAAGGCACTTGTTAGCAGTGAATGAAAACTTTAGCTTATGAATATGTACATCAGCTGCATTTTAAAAAAATAGTTCTGAAATTCTGAGAATCTTCTGAAATGCTGGGCTGTCCAAGGCCCTCTTTCAGAGATTTGTCTATTGGCAGTTTCAGTTTATTGCTTCCCAGTATCTTCCCAATATTTATATTCTGTCATGTGACAATAGGTAACTTTTTAGAGAAAAGTTGAGCAGTGTTAAACACCCCATCTATTCTTCCCCTGCCCCACTTCCCAAACATAATCTAAGTATTTTATTACAAGACTTTCTAGACTGTTGAATTAATTTGCAAGCACTGATTTGCCATTCTCAATTGTGGGACTGTTGGCCAGGAAGGAAAAGATGACAGGAACTTAGGATACAGATAGCACTGAGTTCTGGGATCAGTGCCAAACTGTATAAACCCTTCAATGAAAGGTAGACTAATCGTCTTTAAAGCAGACCGGTTTCTGAAGAAATGTCAAGAGATCCTGTTGAAAGTAACAGTTGCCCCTAAAGATCTTTGGAGAGGCCAAGGAGCATTCACTTACAGGAGGCAGCACCAGGACCTATTGCTGCTATATGCTGCTGTATGGTTTATTTCTGGGGCTTCTCCCAGTGGACATTGCCTTTGTGGGCATGGTAACTAACCCATGAGTAACTGAACAACTGGAGGACTCTGCTCCTCTCCTAGGAGTTGTATTTTCTGTAAGTTCTAAAAACCTTGTTGTCAGAGATCATGTATATTTTAACATAAAGGGTTTTTTTCTACAAAGGCGGCAAATGTTTCTCATTGACCCTTTGCCTTATATCCATTAAATTGAATCATTAGACTTAACAGTGACTGACCTTGACTTGAGTAAGAGAGAAATGCCAATTTATTGTATTTTAACAAAATAAATGGATAGCCAAAGAAGTGACATTCTGCCTTCTTGCAAATGAAAAAGCAACTGTTTAGATTTTCTGTCTTTTAAATATATGATTCATGATACCATAAATTAAAGACTATCTACATTTGTGACTGGCAGCATTTGCATTTCTTCAGAAAATTTGTCTGTATAATCTAGACACTTATATTTCAAGTCAAATCTATTGCATTGCCTAACTGTAGCACTGTAAATAACGTTTGGAATGTTGCACTATTTAAAGTTATTTCTTAAAGGTTAAGAGGTGATATGTTTATTTTTAGTATCAACAATTCATATTATATTGGCCATAATATTAATCAATTATGTTGAGTGACCAGTATGTAATTTTTAGTCTTTCTTCATTGAACAATAATCCTATCAATACAATTTGTTTTGTCACATCTTCTGACTGTAATTTTTATGCAAGATGTTAAGCATTTTTAGTTCTTGATGGGTTGCCATTAAAGAGTGTATTGCATTAACTCTGAAGTGAGGAAACTGCAGAATATCTTGCTATCTTCAGTGCATGTTGGGCTACATGAATTTTTCAGATCAGGATTTATTATTACTATTTCGGTATGGTAATGTTAAGGTTTTTGTTTTGTTTTAACTCAGAACACTTCACAGCCATGTAATTAGGTAGTTTGCACAGCAGAGAGTTGTTTCAATTGATCATAGGGGAGTAGAGATCGTTCATTATAAATTGTTTTTATGCAGGCCTTTAGATCAGTTTTTTTTTTAACATATGTATTATTATAGTTGAAAAGGACTTACCACACCCACTATGCAGTATTTGAAGCCATTTGTAGACCTAAATCCTCTTTTTCCTTGACTTTGTTTCTCAGACCACCAATTCTCCCTAGTCCTTCTCCTTCAAAATCCATTCCAATCCCACAGCCCCTCCGACCAGCAGATGAAGACCATCGGAATCAATTTGGGCAACGCGACCGATCCTCTTCAGCTCCCAATGTTCACATCAATACAATCGAGCCAGTCAATATTGATGTAAGTATTAATAATGTTTGGATCAGGAATAGTAGACTTGATGTTTCCCTTATGAATATCAGTGTGTTAAATTTAACATGTGTACACGAGCGCTTTGGTTCTAAGCTAATCCTTGGTGGTCTGTCAGAGTCTTCATAGATCCCACAGAAGACATTTTTGCTATCGAGAGCTGTAAGAATGCAAATAACCCATTCTCCAAAAGCAGAAACTGCCTTTTGAAAGTCCTGTGCTTTCATTTTCAAAGAAACAGTCTACCACAAACGACTGCTCTTTTTTTTTGTTGTTAGTCCCAAGGCTCGTTGGGACTAAGTAAGTCCCAAAGCTAGCTGCACCACAGCATTAAGAATATGAGAGCCAGTAACCACTCTTGCAAACCGTTTTATGTGTTAAGCATATTTCTTTATATGCAGGACAGGGATTTTTAGTATTTGTAATTCAAGTAACATTCCTGGCATTGAAGAAAATTAAATTATTGCTGTAAGCTGAGTTCAGATTTACTGAATGTTCCTTAGGATTTCAAGATCCCAGTGTATATTGTTCTGAGCATTCTTTTGGAGTGTTCAGAAACTGCTACACTTAACTTGTTTTCCACGTTTTTGAAATTTATGGATGCAGAATTGTAAATAATAATAATAATGGTTGATATCAGGTATAAGGCCAGCTAGGACCTTTCAATATGTTGGTCACAACAACCTCTTTCTAATTTTGCTAACTTATACAGCTTGTATTTTACCCTTAAGTCTACTCTCTAGAAATTAGTCATTTGTCAGGTGAGCAGTCTTGAAGTCTGCCTGGACTCTGAGGCACAAAATCTGTTTTGCGTGTGAGCTGAGCGAAAGGTGAAATGTTAGTTGAGTATTAAGAGTGTGGCTGCGTAGACATTTGCATATGGTATATGGCAGTGATGCATCTGAGAGGGAGGACCAGTGTGTTCGGCAGCAGTGCAGGTGTTTAAAGGAATAAAATAATTGTGTAATCAAAAAAAGATGAAAATGGACATACAGAGGGAGACTGCTAGAATTTTCTAATTTTCTTCTGTTTAGAAAATCCTTAGTGTAGTTTGGTTTTAGTCTGGATATGTTGTAAAAGATACTCTTAGTTCACAATGTATTGCAAGTGAAGGAAACCTTTTGCAGTTAGTCTTTTCTGAGAAGAACAGAGTGCGCCTGGCTATGCAAATGAGGTGATTTGTTACAAGAAAAAATGAAGCAGAACTCATTTGACTGATGTACCTCAGTACAGGAAATTGGTGTCCTAGCTTCTGATATAACAGTTCAAATAATTTGTGCCACAAACACTGTAACTAGAATGATTAGTTCAATATTTCTTCATGCGTTTTGGCCAACTGCATGTTTAAATCAATATTTTCATGTCAGCATCTAGTCTGGGTGGTGTGCATTTCACTTTACTACCGAGAGATGCTGTATTGAAGCAACTAATTTTGAAAAGTTTAGTAGTTGTTATAAATAGTTCTTTGGAGTCACTGCTATTAGTAAGCCAAGGTAGGGAACAACTTTTATTTCATGGACAACATATGAGGTTATGGATTCTCAATTTGATCAATCTCGATTCTGGAATGTAAATGATAATACCTAAATTAAACACAAATTTTTTTTTTATTTATAGGACTTGATTAGAGACCAGGGTTTACGAGGAGAGGGAGGTAAGTAGCATTTAAACTATCTACTGTGCTATATTTAATTAAACAACTGCTCTGTCCCTTCCCTTTGTTCTGCTTCCTTCTACAAAACACAGACACAAAGGAAAACATGACTAGGAAAAAAAATGAATTTGCATTTGCTTGTCCATGAACTTAATATTTGTCTGACAAAGGTCTGAGTCATTTGCCGGTCATTCTGGGAGTGGGGGAGACGGAAGGAGAAAAAGTTTTGAAGTGGTATCTAGTTTTTTAGTTTTAAAATTATCTTGTGCCATCACTTTCTTGCTCTTACACGCACACACTCATTCACTCCCATGGCTGCACACAGATACGCTACAACTTCCCAACTCTCTCTCAAAGATTTTTATGCCTGTTGTTACCTTTCCACCCATGGGAACAACGGGGGTTTTCGTTGAAAACCATCAACATGGTAGATAGACCTTCCATACGAACCGCTGCATCCTAAAGCAGCGTGAAATACTCCGGTTCTTCTCCCCCTCTACCCCTGCTGAAGATGCTGCTTTGCTGTACTGCATGCCTGTGCTACTCTTGGAACCAGGTTGTTACACTAAAGCCAGGTCTTTTTATGTTTTCCTTCAGTAACACACAGCCCTAATTCACAGTTAAGTCAGCACTAGTGCCAGAAGGTTTATTTTTCTTCCCATGTTATGCATGGGCCTGTGAAGTCACTTCTCCCATCGGCTGTCAAGGTCCTGAGAGGGCTTCTTATGTGCTGTATTTATTCCTATGAATATAATAATAATATAGAAATAATAGAAATAAAGAAATAGTAAGTAGGGCAGGCATATGACAGTTTTTCCACTCCAAATCTTTAACACAGTCATCTCCTACTAATTATAACTTGCTTCAGCCATTAGTAAAGTCTGAATTACCTTAGCGCGCTCTATCCTGATCTCTAAGGTTTTGTACTGTGGGCTATGACTGACTTTGTTTCTCCCATCCAAATCTGGTAGTTGGTAGGATGGTACCTACCTACTGCGCTGTTTGATGGAGCTGTTTTTCTTATGCCAGCAATAGAATGCTTTTTACAAAGAAAATTCCTTTAATCCTGCAAGCCTACTAATTTAAAGTTGCCAGTTTTAGCTATTTTTGTATGTGTTGGTAGGTGTAGCTCTCCACAGTTTTGCCCATTTTGTCCAGCATTTAAATGTTGTGCTATCATGTTGGTTTTAACTTTTGATCATAAACTGTCTGCTTGGCATCTGAAAACAATTGGCTATTCCCAGTCCTGAAGCAGTGTTATTAGTAATTGACTTTTTTTTTTTCTTCAAAGTACAGAAACAGTCTATGAATAGGAGTCAAAGCATCCTAGTTATTTCCCATGACTTCTTTCATTTCTTCTATGTGTCTGTCTTTCTGTCTCTGCCTGCCCGTCTCTTTCTCTCTAACAGCCCCTTTGAACCAGCTGATGCGCTGTCTTCGGAAATACCAATCCCGGACTCCCAGTCCCCTCCTTCATTCTGTCCCCAGTGAAATAGTGTTTGATTTTGAGCCTGGCCCAGTGTTCAGAGGTAGTTGGGCTCTTCTTTCTTGTTTTCACCCAAACAAAATAAGTAAAACCACAGATGCTGTTTGTGCCTCACCCTCACACCGTGTGTATGTAAGTGTGTGAGTTTATCAAAACACCTCTGTTTTTTGCTTGGCCTGGCTGGAATGCTTTGAATGTGCTTTTCACACATACTCACTTTCACCTTTACACGCTTGAAAATTACTATAAATAAAGTCTGACTTAAATCTTCAAAAGCAAGGAATTTCATAGTTGAGGTTTTTATGTGGACCTTAACATAGTTTTTTTTTAAACAAAGGTCGTTGGATTGCATTGCAGTGCTTTTAAAGACAAAGTGATATCCTTAACTTAGAATTTCCTTGACTGTTCAGTTTAAGTCAGTTCAGTGCTTTAACAGTTTTCTATATTTAGTATTCTTTGTTTTGAAAAGTAATCTAGGAAATCAAATTTGAATTATGAACATTTCCATTGATATCTTGGTAGGTCTCAAGTTTTTCAAGTAAAGTGTCATGTCAACTTTCAACAAATACTTTATTTTGAGAATGTGTTATTGATGCCACATTGGGGCTCTAGATGGTTTTAGACCATGTAGTTTTTATTTAGTTGGTAAATCTTCAGTGAAACAGTATTTGTTTGTGTCCTGTACCATGTAAAATAAGACTCTTCCATTTTCATGTCATTGACTCTGGGGGTAATTCAGGCCTAAAGCTGTCAATGGATCTGTTGTATTGCACAAAATCCCCAAACACTCTGTGGGATTTCACACACTGGAGAAACCAACTATTGAGTCATAGCATGAAATGTAAATATTTGTGTCTATACCTATACACGTAGAAATGGGTAGTCCAATGCATGTAGTGTGGTTTTCCAATGCTACCATTTTGGCTGTTTCAAAGACTTTTGTTTCAGAATATATCAAGAGCAGTCCACCTTATGAACTTGTAAAGTTCTTCCAGAAGTCTTTGTAAGAAGACAGGTGTTCCCAACAAGCAAACTGGCTACAGAATGGAATACGTTACGTACAGCTTCAGAGTCCAAGCTAATGACTTAAGTCCAACATTATCTGAAGTATTCTGCTCTAATAACTTGGAAAACAGGCCATCTGGTATTATTATGAACAGATTAACTATAATGTTTTACCATGCGCTGTAAGCATTTTTGGTGAGGGGTGAATATTGGGCTAGTGTTTCTGTATCATGGTATTAAAATTTAAGTAGGAGACTTTAGTTACCTCTAAAGAAAACGCATTCAAGTAGAGCTTTGCTATTCCAGAGAAAGTCTGTAACCCAGTAAACTTTTGGAAAATTGCTCATGTTCTGGGATCATCATACATTTAATTCCATATATGTATGATTTCAGACTAATGATATAATAAATATATGACAGTATAGTGACCGTAACAGGAATATGAACAAAAGTTCATCCTGCAGGTTGCTGGCTTCCAGCTGCTTGTAAGTGTAATTAGGATGCCCAGTATGCATCATTATTGTTGCTTTGGCATGTGGCACAAAGTTTATGGATGCTGCGTCCCATTTTTGATGTGTTGGTATGTCATTATTTTGTGCCTTCCACTTATAAATGTATGGATTTTAGTTCAGAGAGGACAGACAGTGATGCATATATATAGAATCTGATAAATTAGCACGTACTCAGTGACTGAACTTGAGCAACAGTATTAAAAGTCACAAAGTCAATTTTTTTAACTCAAGTTGGCGTTAGGAGACACTTTTTTGTTTAGAAGGGGGCTTCTAAAGGAATATGAGGGGGAGTATTGTTGTCTACCACATCCCAGAGCACTGATGTGAGGGAAAGCGTTGGAACGTTGGAGGTCTTGTACAATGACATACATTGTTTAACAGAACAGTGTGAATTTAATTAACAGTTGACCCTATTTTATGTCCTTTGCATTGGGAGGGTCAGCATAACCTTGTTATGAATAATTATGGTGTATTTTAAAAACCAGTGTCTAGTTGAAGTGCTCTATTTGTAAAGAGCCATTGAGGCTCTGAAACACAGCTCTGATAGTGACATTTTCCTGCATAGATTTGTTTAGATAACGTCTAGGCTACAGATTTGCGGTTCTTTCTGTATTTAATAGAATATGCTTCAAATAGCTAACTAAAGTACTTGTTCTTTTTTAATCCTTTCTACAGTCTAATATTTACTTTTAAATGAGAGCTCTCTGCTAACAGATAGCTTTAAAACAGCCAAATCATTTTCAGGTGGCACTTGGAGACTCAACTAGAAAACATTTAAATTTTTTGCATTTAGTCTATTTTGATTCCAAAGTACAATATTTCAGCTATTTATTGGGTCCCTAAAAGGTTAGTTACAAGAAATATGAGAGGTAGCTACTGCTAACTAAAATGCTTCTACTTTTCTTCTCAAAGAAACTGGTGGAATTAAAAAATGCTCCCCTCCACCCCCCATTTAAAGAGACATTGTCCTTCTGATAATTCACGAACAAGAGACTGGAGACTATCTGGTGTACAGGGATGTTTGCTATAGACTTGTCTCTTCCTGAAATCTAAGACTTGAGCACTAATCTAATATTAGGACAATATTCCTAGTATATGTTTGTTCCTTCTTAACATTTACATTGATGTTTGGAGATACTGCATCTTAAACACAATTCTTGTACCTAATATCAATACATTCTTGTAAGCTGGCTTCTTATAGATAAAATTATACTGTTTCTGAAATTTAGGTTCAACTGCAGGTTTGTCTGCAACACCTCCCGCCTCTTTGCCTGGGTCACTCACCAATGTGAAAGCGTTACAGAAATCACCAGGACCCCAACGGGAACGGAAATCATCCTCATCCTCAGAAGACAGAAATAGAATGGTAAGGGAAAGATCAGCTATTTTTATTCGTATATTGGTATATATGGTATATTCTTAGTACAGAAATACTACACAACCATGTTCCTCTCACTTTTGTTTCATCAAAGCCTTCTGAATTATTTTGAAGATGAGTAAGGTAATGATCAAGGACTTTAAGCCAATAAGTAATGGAATATTGAAATTCTGGGACCGATACATAAATCATTTAAATAATTGACTATACTCACTTTTACTCCATTGCACCCAAATGTCTTGGTGTGCTTCATATTATAATGCCAGTTTCCTTTCTAATAACAGCTTAACTTTCCCACCATGATTCATGAACTTTGAAAGTTCTCTCATGAATCTCAAATGTAACAATACATAAGAATGTCTGCATTTTTTTTTAATTCACAATGTAGCATTATACTTGAGTAAGAAATAAATGAGACTTTCTTTTTGGTAAGAGTTTCTTAATATTTACTGGCTTTAATACTGCCAGAAACCTGTGGCAAGTATTTCATGCCAGGAAATAATTTAGTATACCTGTGTGTTGAATTTTGTGTATGGCCAGCTTGAAAAGTCAAATGCAATATCTGAAAAAGAAAGTTCTCTTAGGACTTTAATGATATGAAATGCTGATACCAAGTCTTTAACAAAGGAGCTGTTTTCACAGACATTAATGCACTTGCTTTCTTCCTTTTTATTGTTTATGTATATATATAAAGAAAACCCTTGGTCGACGGGATTCAAGTGATGATTGGGAGATACCAGATGGACAGATCACAGTTGGACAAAGGATAGGATCTGGATCATTTGGAACAGTCTACAAAGGGAAGTGGCATGGTATGTGACCGTCGTGGCAAACAGTTATTCTTAAGCAAGTAACGTTGCCTGCTGCGGGCCACCCAGTGAGAAAGCAGCTTTGCGGAAAAGCATCTGTGGATTCTGGCGGGCACCAAGTTGAACATGAGCCAGCAATGCGCCCATGCTGCAAAGAAGGCTAATGATATCCTGGGCTGCATTAGGCAAAGCATTGCCAGCAGGTCGAGGGAGGTGGTCATAGAATCATAGAATGGTTTGGGTTGGAAGGGACCTTAAAGATCATCTAGTTCCAACCCTCCTGCCATGGGCAGGGACACCTTCCACTAGACCAGGTTGCTCAAGGCCCCATCCAACCTGGCCTTGAACACTTCCAGGGATGGGGCAGCCACAACCTCTTGGGGCAACCTGTTCCACTGCTGCACCACCCTCACAGTAAAGAACTTTCTTACATCTAATCTAAATCTACCCTCTTTCAGTGTAAAGCCATTACCCCTTGTCCCATCACTACATGCCCTTGTAAAAAGTCCCTCTCCAGCAGTCTTGTAGGCTCCCTCTAGGTACTGGAAGGCTGCTGTAAGGTGTCCCTGGAGCCTTCTCTTCGCCAGGCTGAACAACCCCAACTCTCTCAGCCTGTCTTCACAGGAGAGGTGCTCCAGCCCTCTGATCATCCCCCTCAACACTGGTGAGGCAATGCCTGGAGTGCTGGGTCCAGTTCTGGACTCCTCAATATGAGAGAGACATGGACATACCAGGGAGAGTCCATTGAAGGACCATAAAAATGATTTTGAAATTATAAGTACTGTGCTAAATAGGTAATGTTAGAACTTCAGGCTGTTTAGAAACTCAACTCTTGCATGTTCTTCTGAATTTAGTAGTTATTAGGGTAAAGATGAAACATAGTTACTAGAAGGGCTGAAGTATCCATCTTGATGAATGAGGATTTCAAATGTGTATTTGGAAAGCTTTGACTTGGCTGGGATTTCTCAGAGTAAAATAAAAACAGTGTTTATACATTTGACAGAATATTTACTTATTTTAATATGGTAGTGGTTTATTTCATGAAAGCTAGAAAATAGGGTAGCTCAATATTTCTGATGCTCGGTCTATAGAGCATTTTCTCAATAGAGGAATATGTATCAATGGCACTTATTAAAAAATTCCTATTTTAAAGGTGATGTGGCAGTGAAAATGTTGAATGTTACGGCACCTACACCTCAACAGTTACAGGCTTTCAAAAATGAAGTAGGAGTGCTCAGGTAAGAATATTTTTAATGCCATAAAATAATGTGTGTAGATTTATGCTTCATTAATCATTGAATTTTAGATTGCCATTAGAACACATTGGTCTTATTCCTCCATGTTAATACTTTGGGCAGAAAATATAACTTGCCGTATTAAAATATTTCTTTGTATCCACTGCTCCTTCCTTCCCATGTATGTGTTTGTCTGTGCACCTATGTTGTGAATATATGTATGTCCAAATACTCAAGACAGGACTGGTTTTTGCTATTGTACTACCCCCAGGGCACAGTCAAGCCTAAGTGTGAACTGTAGACCTTTCTTTCCTCTTATCCACATTTTGAGATTGAAGGAGAGCATGACTAATTGTTGGTTTTGAGCTACAGCACTGCCTATATTATCTGTTGTTTAATAGTTTCTGTTCAGTAGCATTGACTTCTCTTTGAGGTTTTTTTTAAAATGTATTTCTCATAAAGTCACTTCTTGATTTCCTTTTCTCATGTCTACTGCTTGTACTTTCTCAGAGGAAGTATTTGTCTTGGGTTCAGCTCTTAAAAGAGGATCCATCAACATGATAGAATAGAATATTTATTGGGGAAGACCATTAGCATCCAAGTACAATCTTGAGCAGTCTCGAGCATAATTCTGTTTTAAGAAACAAAACAGAAAGAAGGGTTTTTGCCTCTGGAAAATTGATGTGTTGAGCTGGGCACCTGTGCTGGAGGACCATCCCCAATAAGCTGCATAGTAAAAAGGGGATGGTCAGCCTTTTTCCCCAGGAAATGTTAGTTCTGACTCTAAGTCCGTAGTTGTGGAAGTAGAGGCTTTCTGGGGTATGCTACTTTGGATATCTCTGCATATTTTTTGCACACCTGCTCAGGTATTTAATGAAATAAAAACATCTTGTATTTCATACCTATTTCAGATTTCTGCTGGCAGTCCCATAGCTGGAGTCCAGCCCTTCTCTGTTGTTGATCATTTCAGCACTTAGAGTAAATAGTCAGTTGTCCTATCCTTTGACCCAAACAAGCCAGATTTACCTGTAGTTGTGCCTTTTCCATTATGCTTCATCATTACTTTCTTAGCTTTGAGGTAGCATTTGCAAGAAACCACTTATTTTTTGTTCACTCAGCAGTCACTTGACAAATCCTTGAACCTGAAAAAGGCACAGTCACGTAGTGTAGAACTGTCCTAGTCTGCATTGCAGAGAGGACAAAGGGGTTCACACTCTAGGCTCCCACGTTAGTTTTTTCATATAAGAAAACCTAAAGAGCTCTGCCATCTTCAGCAGCAGCATAGATTTCAGAAGCTACCACAGGTTTTAAGCTTGGTCTGTCAGGTTTCATCAACAGTGAGCTGACTGCCTTCAGTACCGAGCTGTGTTGGAAGAAGATTGCCTTTATTTTTCCTCAGCCCTTGGGAATGCTAGGAAATACTCCCAGAATTCTGAGGTGCCACATCTTTGTAATATCTCATTGTTATATTCGGAGGTGTCTAGTTCTTCATGTCCATTTGATGATAATAAGAATGTGATTGACTTTCCCTGGAGGGTGAGGACAATCCTTCAGATTTCGCAGTGTATCAGTAGATTCTTTCAGGCCTTGAATCTGCTGGGATATCTAATGAGATAATCCTCTCTGCATTGTTCATTGTGAAGTTTTTCTGTCTGGAGTTGCTCCACCTTTGAAATAGGTTTGATTTAATCTGGCCAAATCTCTGTGGTGAGCTCCGGTCTCTCCCAGTGCTGTTTGGGAACAAGTTCATAGCATAACCTTACTGAGGTACAGTTTTCATACCTGTTTCCATCCTTTCTTGTATGCTAGCTCCATAGAGAGTACAAAATTCCTGTCAAATAAAGCACTAAGAAAAACTGAAGCCTTGTCAAGGAGGTGTGGTGATGGCTTCTGAACAAAAGATTGTCCTTCCTTGAAAGCCTCTGAGACTGGAATTTCATTTTGGATGTCCTCCTTATGGGCAGCAACATCTCATAGCTGGACTGGGGTTACACAAAAGCAGACCTGCCTGCAAACCATCACTGCCCCATGGGGACCTAGTGTTAACAGCATCTTCTGCGCTGTCCTGTGCTGGGTTGTTTGCAAAAGCAAGAGGAAGCGGTGCTTACCCCAGAATAGCTATTCTGTGTCATTACGATAAGAAAGGCTAATTGCTGGAATAATTCATTAAACTGAATCTAGCAACAGGTTAACATGTTATCTTAGTAAAAGTTGAGATTGACCCAACAACTTCTGTTTGGAAATATCTATTTAGACTGTGATAGATCTGCCTGGGTTTTTCCTGATTTTCTGATCTGCCTGATTTCCTCCTGATTTTTTTTTTTTTCAACAGGAAAACACGCCATGTGAATATCCTGCTTTTCATGGGTTATTCAACAAAACCCCAGTTGGCTATTGTTACACAATGGTGTGAGGGGTCCAGCTTATATCACCATCTACACATCATTGAGACCAAATTTGAAATGATCAAACTAATTGATATTGCACGACAGACTGCACAAGGCATGGAGTAAGTATTGTATTGCTTGTTTACAAATGAGCATTGGGGCAATGTTTACTTATCCTCTTCACACTCTGACTGGCATCGGCAAATAAGGCCAGCTATCTGCTCACTTTGCCAAGCCCAGGGTCCTGCCTTGATGATCAAAGCATTTGGTGAAGTGTTTATTATTTTGATTAGTAAAATAGACTGTTTTCTTTTTTTCGAACATAGGGAAATAAAATCATCAAGGAAATACAGTCTTAGTAGAATAAAGATAATGACAGTGTAGTTAAAATTTAAATCTTGAGAGCAAAGATTTCTGTTTCAGGCTTTACAATCTTCACAGTGCAGATAGTCTTATGGTAGGAGGTAAAACATAGTTTAAAAAGAAACACCCTGTGAACAAAAGGACAGAATCCTGTAAGATAATGCAGAAGGCAGACAGCCCTGTTAGCAAAAAGAATTGATTTTTTTTTTCTGCTTTTCTTATAAGTATTGTAGCTCTCTAAATAATAGATTTCAGCATTTGAAGAAAACATACCTATTTTGTTCTAAGGACTGTAAGTAATCCTTACTCCCATAGAGGGCAATTGCGTGAGTTAGAATTTACAAAGCTAGCCCAATGCTGTGTGTCAAAATCAGAACACTGATGTAAGATCAGAGAAATCGCCCTCCAGCTGGAAAACCACTATGATGATTGCAGTTCATTGTGCCATTTTTCTGCTAAGCATTCTATTACATTTTCAGTCAAGAAGTGGGGAGGTGTTCGCAGCAGCCAGCCTCAGCCTTCTGTTAGCCTGCTCATCTCCCCCGGCTCCCTCTGTAGGTAGTGGAGATGCAGAAGCCGTTGTATGAGTGTGATTCAAAGCAAAGACGTACATTGGGGCTTTTCCAGCAGGTTTGTGCCAATCTCATTGACTAAACAAAGAGCCATGGGAGACTAGTTGCCTAATTTAGGCTATATCTATGCTGTGGGGCAAGTACTTTCCTCTGTGTTCCCTGCAATCTATTTATCCAGTCTGCAATCAGGGGATCTTTTTTCCAGTCCCATACTAAAAAGCAGTCAGCATACTTGAGTACATGCTGAGGCTGGGAAACACATTTAGCTCCCACAATTTAAAATCATCTTACCTAAAGCTGTGACTACTCCGCAAAGTGTCTTGACAGTCACCATTAAGGCTGGGAGGCAGAACCTTCAGCACTGAATGGCGTGTCAAAAACTACTGAAGTTCTTTTATTTTTATTCTGAATATTGAGTTACAATCAAAAAGCAGAAGTTGGCACATAATTGTTACTTCATTCTTCAGTAGCATCAGGTTTCAGCTGAAAATCTAAGCTTTATTTTATTTTTGTTTTTTTTCTCTGACTGTTGCAGGAACTGTCATGGGTAACTGAAGTTTTGCCACCCTGATAAATATGTGCAGTTTGAATATCTACAGAATTTGTGTTTCAGTAATACAATGAATTTTGAGTCATTGATTAGTGAAATACCATTTAACCCACCTAATCTATGATGTTCCTTTTCAGTTATTTGCATGCCAAGTCAATCATCCACAGAGACCTCAAGAGTAATAGTATCCTTTTTCAGAGACGTGACTGTGGAACGTGACGGCATTCCTGATTTTTTTTTTTTTTTTTCCTGCCAGAAATGAACTTAGTGATGTGAAAAGCTGTTCATGTGTGAATATTTGCTGAGTTAAAATTCCATTGAGAGGGGGTAGTATCACTAGTAGAGAAGTAAGGAATACTTGCTATGTCTATTAATGTGATAGCAATAACGTAGCGAGTTTTGTTGTGGTATCAAAGATTTTTGCATCATTTGGTTTCTACATGTAATGAAAGATTATGCCAGTTCATTCATGGAATATTTTCAGCTTTTCTCGTACTTGGCATTTCAAGAAAGCCACTTGGGCCGTGGTCTGTTCAGCCCTGGCCCAGTCATTACTTATGTAACCCTTAAGTGCCATAATTCACCGTGCTGGCTGCTTAGAACCTGTATCATATGAAAAACTTCTTCATTGATGGTGGATGGTTAAAACTGTTATGTCTAATGTTGCAAATTTGTAGCTGTTTATTGTTCTTGTAGGACAGGACCAGTACCGCTTGTTTGTTTTCCCTTAACATTTCCCCCTTAGATATTTTTCTTCATGAAGACCTCACAGTAAAAATAGGTGATTTTGGTCTAGCTACAGTGAAATCACGGTGGAGCGGGTCCCATCAGTTTGAACAGTTGTCTGGATCTATTCTATGGATGGTAAGCAAGGGGGAAGGTGGTGTGTTTGTTTCAACAAATATAATTGTCTTCGGCCAAAGTTTCTAAGACTATCCCTCCAGCACACTGACACGTACAAGCTGTCGTAAGCTGGAAGAGACAAGCAGTAATATGAAGTACTAAATTAATGCTTTTCAGTTCTTCTTTAAGCATATGTTTTCCAGTAGTCAGCAAAAGAACTTTAGTGTCTTCATCCCTTATTCTGAGGTTTAAACTGAAAAGAAAATGGTGGCTATGGAAAAAGGGGGTGGTTAATGCAGGGTTGAGGAGAAGATGAGAAAAGCCATGGAAAAAATCCTGCTCAGCCAAACTAGCTCAGCCACAAGTAAGATGCACTTAAGTTTTAAGGATTCAAGCACGGCTACTCTCAAGAGGTTGTACAACTTGCTTAAGTCTTAATAATAAGTATAGTTACAACCTCCTGTGCAACTCTGCTTTCTCCTTTTCTCCCTAGAAAAAACTGAAGGCTCTGTTAGTTGGCATTATTTTCAGTGTTGTTTTAATTCTAGTTTCAAAATAGCTTCTCGGCCCGGGCAAGGTAATTTTGTTCTGTTGTAGAGGAATAAAGAGATCACCAAGCTAAAATGAACCAATGGATTCTGAGATTCATGTCAACATCCACTCTACATTAGGACCCAGTAACACCTGAAGGCAAGAGTGGGCCTTTTGCATCTGCTATAGTCTGGACAAGTCTGTGTTTTGTTCGTGGTATGTGAGGTGCAGCCTGACATGGTGAAATAAAAACTTAATTCTTTCCTTTTATGGTACAGGCACCAGAAGTTATTAGGATGCAAGATAAAAACCCATATAGCTTTCAGTCGGATGTGTATGCATTTGGGATTGTTCTTTATGAATTGATGACTGGACAGTTACCATACTCAAACATCAACAACAGGGACCAGGTAAGGGAAGGGAAGGGATTGTCTTCAGTCAGCTGTGGGCTGAGACAGAGATTGATGCAGCCTCCTGAAGTCACATCACATTCTGATGTTTTGTGTGTTTGATTTGTGTTTCTGATTCTGATGTTACGAGATGATGTTTCTACGTTTTCTAGATCTGCCTCAGCCACGTAGCACCAATTTACTTTTTTCTCTTGAGGTTGTTTTTTTACTTTTTTTACTTAAAGTATAGATTTTCAGCTTCTGAGCTGGTTGCCAGGATACTTATTAGGGAGAGAGCAGGTTACTTAATAGTAGTCTAGTTTAGAATAGTTCTGCAAAGGCAAAATGATCCTCCATATGTTTAGTTATTCCTCTCCCCGCCCCCCTTGCACTGAATAATAGTTCAGCAACAGGATTGACAAAATGGAACAGCAATCATCTTGCTGAATGCTTTATATTCATTTCAATCCTGAGAAATGCATGCACCGTCTAATTGAATTTCAGGATATCAGCATTTCTCAAATCCTGCTTGATGGAGTATATGACTTTCCAGAGTGTGTGAATCCTGTAAGAAGATTACTTAATTGTGAACAAATATTCTTTAAGTCTAACGATACCACACGCCTATAATATATCTCCACAGGATAGGCACGTTTGCGAAGGCATATCTGATTCATTATTTCTCTGTCTAATCTGAAAATAGTATCTATGCATCAAGATCTTTGGTGTAAACTATTCCATGTCTGGGCGGTGATATATTTATGTTGTTTCTGTGTCCGCATCCCTTGTTTTTTCACTGTCAGTACTTGAGAATTGCAACCATAGCAACGTTCATCTGTGAATGCCATTTTATAAGGCTGCTTCCATATTTGACAGAGCACTTCATCCCAATTCATCAAATTTGGAGTGACTCCTTTTTTATTAATATTATTATTTTTTTTTATTTTTTAATTGGTTTTGCCTTTTGAAAGAAGGGGAAATGTCCAGATTCCTGGCCAGGTGGATATAGCCTTCTACAAGCAGTGTTTGGGCATTGTTTTGTTTTTTACATTTTGAGATTTGAAAGATGAACCCAGTGATGTGAGTGCTCACAGTTGAGTGCTGAAACAAATTTTAAATTGCAAGTGAAGCCAACATATAAAATGTGATCTAATGTCTTGAGTTTTGTCACTCCCAGTCTATTGTCTGAGAAGAGGTAAATATTGCTCACTCTCTGTTGGTGCATCTACATCAGCTACTATGACACAACTGAGATTCTTAGTGAGCAAAGCATTGTTCTTGTTACACCTCAGAATGTTTCTCTCACCTTAACAGATTTTTCTAGACAGACTAGGACTGTTCTTGTAGTGATACTCTCTTTTCTCTAGTTAAAATAAAAGTTTAATCCCTGTATTATTTGTAAAGATTGTATCGGGAGCATAATAATAATGAATTTCGAATAATTTCAACTTAAGTAGTGTAACTATTTAGAAAAGAATACCTTCTAGATGATGGTAAGTCTCACTGCAGCAGAGGTAAGGGACGGGTAGACAAGTCTTTACTATGAAATGCTGCTCTGGCACATGGGGATTTCTAAAGGAACCATATGGGAGTTTTATACTCCTTGATGCCAACACAGATGCGACTGAATCAGACAGTTAAAAAAGGACCAGGATTGTGTTAGTATAAATAACATGTATAGCTTGCATGAGATGTGGGTTTTTTCTGTTGGTTTTTTTTTGCCAGTGTCAAGATATGAACTAGTTACACTTCATTAAATATAAGGTATGATACACCTGGTGGGTCTGTCTGAGTATTCAGAAAAGGCAGTGATTATCTGCTGCAGCATGAATGGATCTTTGATTAGCTGGTTTGAAAGGGCTTTTTAGTGTCAGTGCAACTGCAGTACTCAAACCACATTGCATTTGACCTTGGCTTGACATGATGATGTTTGATGGGTTTTTATATATCCAAGAGAACATTAACCATATTTATGCTTTGCTTTCCTGCTTTCTATTAGTTTGTTTTATGCTTAAGTTTTATCCTTATAAGCCTTCCATGTTAAAGGATTTACTGTAAAAATACAAAGCCTGCCTGTCTTCTCTTCTACAGAGGAGAGGCAGTTTCTCTTTTTCTTTTATGGGTTTTTTTGGAGGAGTGGAGAAGGTGGTCAGATGTCGAGAATAAGCTTTTGTGGTACAAAAGTATATGAAGGAATTTATTCTCGCACAGTAGGGGTTTTTAATAGCTGAAGTCCATGTGTTTCTTAAAACACCTTTCAGTGTGAACTTGCTTTTGACCTATAATATAAAACAGAATTTTTATTTTTGCAGAATATTTATTTTTAGGCATTCTGTTCCTGCCACAGAGTTCCTTATTCTTGTTTTTGTAACAGTTTTTGACACCGAAGAACCACTCCCTTAGATGGTTATTGCTGTAAATGGTAACCATTTGCTAGTGTTCAAGTTTCACAGAAAACTCTCTTAGGAGGAGGAGGAAAAATCTAATTTTTTCTCTGTACTGAATAGGTTAGCAAGCACTACTCTAAGAAACTTGGCAATTTCAATACCAGATAATGTTTCCTGGGAGCAGAAAACTTGCTGCTGGGACTAAAATTGTCTAGCAAAATGTACATCTTTTGTTACTGCTTGTTTTATGGACTCATCTTCTTCCCCTTTCATCTTTTTCCCCATTGAATAAAGATAATTTTTATGGTGGGCCGAGGATACCTATCTCCAGACCTCAGCAAAGTACGGAGCAACTGTCCAAAAGCTATGAAGAGACTAATGGCAGAATGCTTAAAAAAGAAGAGAGATGAGAGACCCCTTTTTCCACAGGTGAGAAATGTTCCTCTTTAGTTCTCAGTAGACTTTACAATTCAAATATTAAAAATAAAGAGCAGTTAGGAACTCACAGGCCAGTTCAAAATGTTTTTGATTAGTGCTATAGCATGAAGTACTGATTCAGGACCGGGTTAGTGCTGTTTAATTAGAAATGTTTATTTTCAATTCAAAAAGCAGGTATTAAAATGACCTGTGTAGTTGGAAAAGCATTTATGTGTTGGAGAAAGTTTCATCTGGGAGACAGTGAAATTAATAATCACAATTAGACACACAAATTAGAACTTGGTGTATGTTCTCAGAAATCTTTATAGCCCCCTCCTTGCTCTCCCCCAAGCTTTATGAAGGGAAGCTGATAGTTTTTTTCACAAAACTTGATTTATCGTGCCTGCTGAGGAAGGTTTGGATTCTAAAAGCTTGGGGGGGACACCTTATTTTTTTGTTTGTTTTGAATGTAAACCAAAGCATTTTAAAAAAAATAAGGAGCTCCCCCTGCTGGCTTTTGGTAAATGGTATTAAGCAAACGGCTGGCAAAGCTGTGGTTATTTGTAGCAATGGTAGGTATAGGTACTAGTGCATAAACAAGGAAGCAAATAAAAGGCAACTATATTCATTATGCTTACAGAGGGAAATCAGTATGCCCTTTTAAAGGGGGAAACGAGATAGTTTCTTCCCAAAATGTCATCTTCAGTTTTTTGAGGACATAAACATCGGAGTGTAATGCAGTAATCTATTTTTAAAAGTTTCTGTTTAAATTTGTGTATAGATATTTTTCTGTAGTTAACTGATGTTCTGCCTTTGGCTTTAAGAGAGTGTTACAACTTCGGAACGACAGATTTGATCACTTATTTTCTTCTTGTTTTAGATTCTTGCCTCCATTGAGCTTCTGGCCCGGTCATTGCCAAAAATTCACCGCAGTGCATCTGAGCCCTCATTAAACCGGGCTGGCTTCCAGACAGAGGATTTTAGTCTATATGCTTGTGCTTCTCCAAAAACGCCCATCCAAGCAGGGGGATACGGTGGGTTTCCAGTACACTGAAAAGAAACGTGAAAGCATGTGCCTCTGTGTGTGTGTGCCCGTGTGTTCCTGTGAGTGCAACATGTGTATGTTCTCAGTTCCTACCAGCTATGGTTTTAAGGTTTACTGAGGGAATGAAGACTCACTTCCTAACGCTGGGCATTGAATATCCTGAGCACAAAGTCTGTGTTGGTAAGAAATGCCCTGGGAACAGCTGGCACAAGAAGAATTGTAAGGTCACATAAGAGAAATGGGAAAAGTCACTCCAAAACAAGCAAAAATCCTCTTAAGGTCGTTGGGTGTCATTTTTGCTTGCCTGTGTCATTTTTGCGTAGTTTATTGTGATTGGAATTAGTTACTCAGGAGTGTATTTTATTTTAATCTACTCAAGCTATGGTGGGTTTTGTTTTGGTTTTGTTTTTTTACTTCAGTTGAGGTCATTATATTTGAGCAATAGGCTTTAGGTTCCTCAGTTAGTAATGCTACTCATATGTGGGCAACAATTGGAAAAATAAACTCCGTTTCAAGGCTGACCACAGTCAAAACTTCTTGTGGTCAGCAGAAGTGAGCAGATACAACACAGAATCCAAAGAAAGATCTTAGTGACACGTGACTCTTATTTTGAAAGTTGAAGTTTAAAATACTGCTGTTTAGAGAACATCTCTTCCTGCAGAGGAGTGGTGGCATGGGGTTTTTTTACTTTTTTTTTTGTCTAAATACTCTGACCTGCTATAGTTTAGACCATCTCAAAATGTTCTGTTACAATGCAACATAGAAGAAATTCTGAATCTGTTTTTGCTGAACTGCAAGAATATTGCTGGTAAAGGTGCCTGTATCCTTCAATTAGCATGGATTTCAAAATTAAAAAAACATTTTAGATGTTGAGCGTAACCAAATACTTTAAGAGAAAAAGGCTGATAGCACCTGTAATAGGAAAAGAGGATTTGAAAAAGGCAGTTGTTTTCATGGAAATCAGTATTATACCATGAATTCTGTTAAGATTAAAGGTTTTAAGTACTTTAATAATACCACTGAACATGCTTCTGTTTAGTGACAAATTGTTTTTTTCACTTCCATATAAAAGCTGCTAGTTGGACTAGAAGTGAATCAGTTAGACTGGATATCTAGGTGACAAAGCTATACGCCTTACCAAGATCCTGTCAGCTCACTTTATAGATGGTGGTTTTCTCTGGAGCATTCCCCTGGAACAGGTGAATCAGAGTAGTGGTTCAGGTGATATCAGTCTTTGATGTCAGATATGAAAACAATAATGTTACTGTGTCCTTGCATATTTTGAAATTAGTTACGTGGTTTTGTTTGTTTTAAACTGCTAAGCTACTAATTTTCACAGATTCTTCTGCATCGGAAACAAGCTATTGCTCTTGTTAGGACTTCAAGGTCCAGGACTGTTCTTAATGGCTACTGATCTACATACTTACAGAGAAGTTTGCATGTTGCTAGCAATAGGTTTTTGAAATAGATCAGGAATTCAAAAAAGGTTTTCTTTTCTGCTCTCTGTCAGCTGAGCCTTTTAAAACAGGAGGCAGAGTTAGAGAGCTTGAAGAAATGTAGGCAATTTCTACACCTTCTGGCCAGATTCTAATGGTCTTTTTGGCTTCTGCAGTTGGAACAGTTTGGGAACTAACTTTTCTCTTTTCATTTTGTTAGTCAAGAAAATTCAGCTGTTGAAATCTGTCTCTATGGAAATAGTTACGGAGGACGAAAGTTGTTATTGTTTCAGAAAATCTGTTTCCCATCTTTCTGGTATCTTCACCTCATTTTGGCAGGCTTATCTTAAAAAGAGAACAGGATTTAAGTGGTTTTTTTCCCGTCTTACTATTTTTTTTTTTTATTCTAGACAGTGAGGAGGAATGCTTCTTAAGCTTTGGGGTATGGTATTCAGTACAGGCTACAATGACCATCTCAGTAAGAGCAAGAGGATGCTGCTGGGTCTCCTGCAGAATCCAGAAATGTGGCATCCCACACAGAAAAGGCTTGACCACACGGGGAGTCATGGAGAGGGCAGAACCATCATCACTGTCCTGCCCGGGCTTACTCTTTTTCAGGTCTGCCAGATCAGTTCAAACAAGTTGTTCCTTGGAGTAGTGTTATCCTGCTTGTTGTTAAGATTGTTCTTCTGTGCAATAGGAACTACAATTAGGGGGGGGAAAATGCTGCCATCCTTAGACATTTGGCCCCATTTCCTGCTGTATGGTCAGTGCCTTAGACTTCTTCCTGTGTCACCTGTTCTTACACATGGAGCATGGTTTGGGATCCGTGGCCATAATGTGATCTTAGCTTCTCACTAAACATTTTATGAAGCCTAAAAGGAGGCTAGTTTTTGTGGATCATTAACTTTATCTGACATAAAGGCATTTAGGGGTTTTAAATTCTGTAGTTTCTAATTGCTGCTTCAATGAGATTTGGGAACATACGTAGGACGAAGATGCCTAAATACACCTGTGGATTTGGGTCAGTGTTCTCAAAGATGCAACTCAGCTATATTGTTCAGAAACAGATACCTATTGGTCCTGAAAACAGGTCTGTAGGATCCCAGGCTTTTCTGGAGCGGTAGTTTATACTATGCGAGATGCCTTTTTTCTTTACTTCCCTGCATTTCAGTATAGAAACAAAATCTGTCTAGTACCTTCTAGAAGGACCAGATCCTCATAAACACTGCTGTATATTCTTCTGAGGATACTAATTATCCACATCAGTGTACGTTCGAAGTTTTTATTTAGCCAGTGGATGGAATCCATACTAGAAGATCAGCGCAAGATCCAACAGAGAACTGCCTCTTTGTCATATTTTTTTTCTGTGTCTGTGAATGTAATCCAGGCAAGGTGTTGGAATTTGGTGTTTCCCTTTAAGTCAGTTACTCTCTACTTCAGTAGACAAGGCTGGCATGGGCCTGGAATGGAACCATTCTTCTCCTTATGATTCTTCTGAGAAACGTGGCATCTACACCAGGATAAGGAGTACAGTTAAGATGATGCGTTATATACCTTAGTAACCTCATGAATCCAGGTAACTTATAAACTTGTGAGAGTAGAGATTGGTAACTGCATCTTAAATCCTTCCAGGAATCAGGGGCAGCAGGTTCGCTCAGAACATGCCCTTATAATATATTGTTTAGACACAACATGAAAGAACTTTTATCATCTTTTTAGTATAGATTTTTTGAAAGTGTGCATTTAAAATAGTTTCCACTTGCCTTTGCATGTGACAAACGTGAAAAGACTGTAGCAACTAACTTGAAAGGGCTCTGTAAGAAGTGTAGATTTTCAAATGCTACCCATCCTTTGGAAGGGAATTGCTTTGTTACCAGTCAAAGCAAGCATCTGAAATTCTGCTTGGTAAAAAGCACATCAGATGTCTGGCTCACAATGAATAAAAATGTGTGTTGTTTTTTTCACATCCCAAATCACTAAGTATGTGGTAAGCTGATCTCATTTGGAGCAGCCATGGCCCAGCTTCTTACTCTGGCAGATGCTCTCCAATTCCACAAGTCCGTTCCGTGCAGTTGAGCGGCTTCCCCCCACCGTCAACAGAGCAGCTCTCCAAAATCTGGTTAGAAAACTTTCCTTGCCCACCAGCCTGAGCTTGCATTTGCTAGGTCAGCTCCTTGAGCCATGTTGCCTCAGGGACAGACAGTGCCACTGTAGCACAACGGGCAGGTCATTGCTCTACAGCTCAGCTCAGGAGGGAGAGTGTGACTGCAGTAGTCCCAGTTTAGATTAGCGTTGGCCGTTAGTCCAAAGACGCAGCGCGGCAGAATCAGGACAATCCTGTTCCTGCAGGTTAGGGCATATCGGGTCCTGTTCCTAAAGCTGTCTTCATTTCATCCATTCATTGCTCTCAGGCAAGACCTTCCTGTCCCTCTAGAAAACAGTGAATTCACGGTTCAGGTTACTTCATTTATCTGTATGCATCTAAGTCTCAGGAAGAGGTTGCCTGTGCTCTTTCTCCCTCTCCTACAGTTGGGCTTTCTTTCAGAAGATGGCAGAGCCAGCTTACAGGTATTTTACATCTTCAGAATAGAAAGGGTGACATAAAGCATTCTAGCTACTCCTCAGAAAGTCCTGTTGACACCTAGCACGATGGAAGATTCCTGTATGTGGATAGGTATAGCCATCTGCATTCCTCATCTAGGGAAAGCTGTTACTGGTAACTGTATTTTATACACATTCAATCAAGGTATTCCCATTATTAGATGAACGTGTTACCTATTTTGGTCTTCTATTGATTTGAGATCAGATTAGCACCTGAATTTTGAAAGAGGAGATTTAGCATTAGCTTGTCAAAGAAAATTTCTTTGCTAAGGTTTTATTTAAATGGCAAAAGAGTCTGAAAATCACCTTTTTATAGCTACCATTCTATCTGAAACGCTTCTTGACTTCTGATCCTGTTTTTCCATTGCCCTTTCCCAATTAATGGTTCATTTTTTATCTTCTGAAATCCCTGTATGACTATTAAAAGCTGAATTATTACCAGAAATGGGCAGAAGGACAAGATGAGTAATGAGGGAGCAATCTCTTGTTTATAAATTGATCTTTAATCAGCAGTTTAGGAAGGCAGACTGAAAAATAAATTAAGTAGAGCATGTTTTGAAAGTGTAGCTAAGCGTGAATGTCATTCTTAAAAATTAGCCTCACAGGCAATACTTGATGACTTTTTTGTCCTTCTCTTAAAAGAAAAAAAGTACAAAAATTAAGGTGTTTCTAGAAGATACTGTGAAGGTAGTTGGGAAATCGGTGAAATGTGTCAGAGAGAAGCAAGAAAAATTATCAAATATTTAGAGTATTTTAGAGCAAGGGTTTTATCTGTTGGTAGAACTAGTAAAACAGGCAATTAGACCCATTGTGAAGTTTTTAATTATTTTGTTATAACTTAAACCTACCACCACAGTCTATCAAGACACGTAGAGCTTGAGATCTGTCAGAGTCCCCTGTGCCAGCCACCCTTATTTTAGGCCTTGGGTGTACTCCCTTCTCATTTCGTATGACACACAGAGCCCTCTCCCCTCTCCCTGCTTTCTTCGTGTTCCCTTAGAGCAGCTGGATCAGCTGTTCCTACCAGGCCCTGCAGACGCCTTTTCTTCCCCCTCCTCGTGCTGACTGCTGATCACTCTTCTTGGTTCTTTTCTTTATACAGCAATACATTCCATGGAATTAATGCTATCAGCCTAAAATTCCGTTTGCAGGGATGTTTCTGGTTTGTTTCCAGTATTCAGAATAAGAATCTTAAGAAAAACCAAAGCCAACAGAACGCTTGCTCTTGAAAGGATGGAAGGACACCAAGATAGGGAACAGTTGTTTGAATGTAATGGCATTCAGCACACTTCTGTTGAACAAAACAAAGGGGGTCTTTATGCATGCTTATTGTTCCTTCATTATTAGGAGGACTCTGAGGAGTGCTGTCAAGGAAGGGGCATAAACTAACCCAAAATTCATGTGAAACCCAACACAGGGAAGTTATATGTATGTTTCTTTTTCTCTTGCTCCTAAGTCCTTTTGGTTAAGCATAGTTTGACACCCCTCCCTAAAAATCCTATAGAATACAATTTCTTTGTGGGTGGCAGGGAAATCTTTTGGCTAATGTGTAAGATTAAGAGGATGAGTACCTTAGATTCAGCTTCTATTCAGTGTTCTGGCAAACTTCTTAAGACTTTGGGCAGTGATTTTACTCTGTGCCGTAGTTTCATCATCTCTGAAATGGGACTACCAGTCTATCTCACGGCATGCTGATGCAAATAAACTATGTAGAATTTCAGGAGATAATTGCATGTGAAAGCACTGCATAGCATTACTGCTTATCCAGTAATTCTGAAGGAAGCATGGGGTTGCTTTATTTGTTGTGCTCCCTAGTATCGAGGCCTAATTCCTAGTCTGGGAGTGAGTAGACAATGTCACTATTCTTATTTTTCTCACAGTAGGTTGCTCTGTTGGTTTCTAAACCAGATCCTAGCATTCTTCAGTACTGGCTTAATATTCAGGCACTTTACTGTATATAGTCTTTAAAGGTTAATATGTGTGTCAAATAGTTCTTTGTTACGAAACCAGTTTTACACCAGAATAGAAATTAGTTTGCAGTCTGACACGTTTATTGCAGTTTGTTGCTTTTCAGGAGGATATATGTGCAATAAGGAGTTTAAAGTGAAATTAAACTGACACATTTTATTTTCAAATGCATGATGAATTAGACTTTGCTTGAACTTTCAGACTTCTGTCTTGGGAAGAATGGGTACAGCTTGCTTTCAAGAAATTCTTTTCTGGTAAAATATGCTGGGTCTGTATTCAATGTTCTCTCACTATGTGTTCTTTTGTGCTTTAATTTTAACAGTTTGCATTTTTTAACATCTTTTATATTCAACCTAATGTTTGACTAGTCTGGAGAAAATCTCTGACCACCTAGTAACGGAAATCACCTTTTTAAACTAAGCTCTTGTCCTCCCTCTACAGGAGAATTTGCAGCGTTCAAGTAGCCACAGCACCATGGCAGCACCCACTCTGTTATTTAAGTCTTGTGTTCCTACAGTTTCTTAACATCAAAACTCTATTCTGCTCCGCAAAACCTAAAGTAATTTAGAAAAGATATCCATAAGCTTAGAAGTGGAGCAGAATGGAACTGCCAGTCCAACACAATGGGAAAAAGTACCTTTTTGGGAACCAGAATCCTCTGCTGCCAGTGTTTCTCCTTCAACACAAACCACCACATGCATTCGGAGACCCGCAGTGGCTGCCTGTGCCGTTGGCATCATTCCCAGGAGAGAGGAGAGTGCGCTCGTGGTTTGACTGTGGTGCTCGGGCATGAGGGGATGGAACTGCTGCTGCAACTTAGGAGACTTGCTTTGGATGGTCTGCCGGTCGGCTTTCTCCCTCTAACAACGTACCATCAGAGGCTGAAAATCTGATGAGTGCTAATTTAAAAGAATCATCCTCCATTCCGATCTTTTTTTTCCCAGTGTACTCACTGATTTGTGGACAATGCAGTATCCCCTTTTCACTGTATTACAATGTCAAACACCTAAATCTGTCTATATTATTGGGTTTTATTCCAGTAAAATTAAAAGTGTGGGGTGATGGGAGCTGGAGAAGATGTTACTCAAAAGGCGAAGAGGTTAATCTGAAGGAAAAGGGGATGCTGCTGCACCTTTTTTCAGATTTACTTTATCACTTCTTCAAAAAACAAACAACAACCACCAACCTTAACCTTTTTCCTTTTCCAGTATTTTCTTGGTGTGTGCATATACAACATCTTTTAGAAGGATTAGGTAGATCCTTCTTTTGTTGGTCCAGCAACAAACTGAAGTTTAAAAAAAAAAAATGTAGCGAGATTGTCCTCTCTGTTTATTTTTTTTCTTTTGTATCATATGATACAATGTGTTTATCAAAGATGCTACTGCAGCATCTGAAGTCTGTAGAATTCCTGATACAGACTGTGAATGGTGTATGTACCTACTTTAAAAGTTTTATTTTAAATGAGGGTGCAGGTTAATGCCAGGTACCTTACCAATATGTAATGTTTTCATAAATGGGAAAAAAAGTTCTCAGGTTGAATTGAATAGAAATACAAAATCCCCTAGAATTAGACATTCCGAAAATTATGTTTTGGTACTTTCGAGAGCTTTTTTTAAAGGATTTTTATCCTGTTAACTAAATGTCCTCTGATAAGTGTGTGTGTAAATGTGGAGCATCTTGTCCTAATGGCAAGTTGTTAGATCAAAACAAAACGGTACTTGCTGGATCCACGCTGACTACTTCTCCTCTCATTGCTTTCTTCCCTGTCATCTCTTCCCTCCCGTTTGTCTTTCCCTTTTGTACACTTTGCAAACTAGGATGAAGGTGGCGGTATCTCCATTAGAGTGCTTTGTTTTCCTGTCCTCCAATCCTGGTTTTCAAATGGTTGGTAGCTTTTTGACAAGTTACCCAGTCAGGGAAAAAACAACTGGTAAAGTTCTGCACATCGTTTACCTCTAGTAGAATATCTTGTGATGTGATCTGTTTGCAGAGTTCTCTGGTGTGTGGTTTTACATGTAAATTATTTGTACAGAGGCAAGTCAGACCACATTAGAAAGAAATTCAAGCTCAAACAGAAGTTTTCAGAATTTGATTCCTCTCTGCCCTGTACCACTCCAGGTGAGGCAGGAGAACCGACCCCCCTCTAGCGGGGAGGTTCTTGCTGGGAGGAGGTGGGGGTTGTTAAACAAAGTCATGACAAATAAATGAAGGAGTTAAATGTGTGTGAATGTGGTGTCTGTGCTAAACATGGGTGCATTGGGTGAGGACGCTGTCCTTCCCTCCCTAGGAGAGTTGGACTGTTTCTGTCTACAGAAGGTTGCTCCCAGGTGAAGGGAGAAACGCACATCGGTAGTGGAACGTGCTTTTAAAACCCTGGAGTTCTGCGGTGTTGCTGGTAGTCTGTTATGTTTGTCAGTAAATATTTACTGGGGTTATAGGGACTGGACTAATCTGAAGTGGGAATTATAACTGAAATACTGTGTATTCATATTAATTCCACAAACATTAGCAAGACAGCAATAGTGAATGACTTAATAGTCACTACAAGAATGAAGTGATTCATGTTGGTACATGAATAGAATTGATTTTGTGTACAGGATGCATTTTAAAAAAAAAAAAAAAAGCACAAATTTTTTCTTGTCTGCTGTGGGTCTTCAGATGCTGTAAGATTTTTTTCCTTATTGAGATTGGCAGGAATTTAAATAGTAGCAATAGCCACTTTCCAGTGTGGAGAAGGTAACGAGGGAGTGGTGGTGTGCAGACGGGTGAAATTGGCGTGCTCCCTGGTGATCAACTGAGGCCAGTACCTAAGAGATGGAAGGAGCCTGGGACCACTGGGGTCAGCAGGCAGGTGAGAGCATTTACAGACTCCCAGAGGGTGAAGTGGTCATTGCTCATTCTCATTCCACCCTGTGCATTGCTCCAGCCCCTGTGTGGGCTGTAGCCTAATTTGTACATGTTGGGCATACTGGAAATTAATGTTCTCTCAAAAGAAACTGTTATTGGAGCAAGTATGTACAGGTGGTTCAACAGTCATTTGTTTCACAGAGCTTGTTAAAAGCCCTAGTTTCCTTCCACAAGGTCATGCTGGCAGAAGATCGTCTGCTAAAATACAACTGTTAGGAATTTCATTCCATCTTTGCTTAAAATGAACTTACTTTTGTGAAGATTCATTACCCATTAGTCTACAATATGCTTCTTGAGCCCATAAGAAAAGCACAAGGAAAACTGCTATCCTTGTCCATGCAAAGCACTTTATAAGTAACACATGATCTCTGGGGGTTTTTTTATTGGGGTTTTGTTTGTAGTTTTGTTTTTCTGGTTTTTGGTTTTGTTTTTTTTCCCTGAGGAATGTGCAAGTTGTTTGGCTGCTGTTTAGAGAAGTCCTTTCAGGATGCATTTCTACTGGTTTTCATGTTTGTTTGTTTCCTTCCAGATAGCTGTAGTAATGTGTGTTTGTCTGTGAGGTCCCACATAATACTCACGCAAAACTTTGGAAGAAACTTGGTTTGTAAATAATTGGGATTATTTTTTTTTAATCTTTTCCTTCAGGAGTTTTTCTGGATGTCTTGCATGCCATCAGAACCAGTCTTAAAGGTGCCCTGTAGATGTTTAGTGAATGGGGAGATAGGAGTAGACAAGAACTGAGTGTCCTGTGTAGCAGTGCAATGAAGAAAGTAAAGTGAAATGACCAATACATTCTTGTCCATTACACCAAATTTCTTAAGCTTCTCTGTGGTGTCCCAGCCACAAGCTCATGGCATAGTATGGAGATGTTAGTACATATTTTGTGTACGCGTGTTGGGACAAACATCTAGACACTCATACTACTTTTAGCTCTGCAGTATCTAGTATCTAATAATTATTTGCAAACCTACCAGTATCCAATCCCAGATATTCATGTCTTTTATTAACCACACATACACCTTCCCCTCTGCCTTTCCTTTTCCATACAGTTAGAAGAGGCCTGTTATCTGTTACATCTTCCCTGTCAGTACGTGGTTGTTTCCTGTGGTGTATTTGCTGGAACTGGAACATTGTAGTGGAGCTTAAACCAAATGGTATAAGCAGAGGCCTGGTTATTTTGAAAGTAATTTCTGCGTGAATTAAGTCCTACATAGGCCAGATACAATTAGTCCAGTCATTTCTTTTTTGCCAAACTCATGTAGGTCATTAAATTAATCTAATTCTGCTTTTTATGCTTACCTAAAATCATCTTTTCTTGTATTTGAATGCTCTTGCAGCTGGTGATGATGATGCAGAATGTTTGAGGCAGAATTTGGCCTTCATGACATAAAATGAGTGAAATGCTGACTGTTGATAAATACCATGTCTTTCCACAAATGCCAAAATCAGAGGAAAAATTACACTGAAGATGATGCATAAATAGGTTTGCTTCTGTGTTTGCCTGGTGATGTAAATGCATCCAGCATTTTCCAGAACATTTGGGGAAGCCAGATCCCCAGAAACCTCACAAACAAGTACAAGTTGAAGTTTTGATAGCTGGAGGGGCTAAATTTAAGGGAGAAGCATGTAGACATTTCACACTTCTGTAGCCTATAGATTTCATTCCCTTCTTGACTGTGAGTGCAGCATGTGTAGCACAAACTATTCATTGTACTGTAGATGTCTCTTCTGTCTGTTGAAAAAAGTATCACCAGTAGCACAATGTGACAGGCAAAGCTTCTAGGTACAGCCAAGTTCAGTTAAAAAGCAGTTGCATGAGTGGGCTGTTACAGCATCACTTTGAAGGTGCTGGGTGTTCTGGTTTTCTGTTAACGCATTTTACATAGAAGTTTATGAAACAAACTTTCTGTTTACTGCAGCCTTGTTAATATGCATTTGCACTTCGTATTTGTTTTGGCATGCATTTTAAATATCTTTCTTCATTGCTTCATTGCTTCTTACCTAGTAAATAAAATTATCAGAAGAGCAGAGCAAAGTTGTTAAAACTTTCTCTTTGCATTTAAGTTTCAAGGATGCTAACACAGAAGCTACCAAGTCAGCACCATAACAGCAGTAAATAACTATGAAACTGTGGAAGGAGGAAACTTTAAACACTGCAGAATATAGAATATACAAAGAAGAAATTCAGATGAAAACTAGCGTATCTCTCTTCTTTAGAAGAGAGAGCTACCAAGACCCTCTGTTAAATGGTTTACATAGGGATCCCCCAAAACAGTCTTTGCAGTTTGCCAAATGATCATGTGCCTTCGCAACCTTAAAAAGTACAACAGAATGTAAACCAGGTGCTTTGTAACTAGAGCAGTGGCTTTGGTTTACTTCTGATGCAGTAGTTTTGTATATAGCTATTACTATAGGTAGGTAGTTTGGGGCTGGTAAATGTCTGTAAAAGAGCAAGGAGGGCAGAGAGCATTCCCCAAAATACCTATGATCATTTCAAAGCTGGGAATTGAAGGATACCTAATTCAGTTACAGTAAACCTGCTGCTTGAAATCTGCTCTATTGAAAGTTAAATGAGGTTCATTTAATTTAAAAATAAATAAGCCCTCCTCCCCCTCCAAAGACACAAAGATCTTATTAAAAGAAAGCTCGTAGAAAGCTCCAGAGAGGCCCAAAGTTACACTGTCATAGCATCTCGGAATGAGATGGTGGATGAAAAATGAGAGTTAGATGAGGAGAAATTGATGGCTAGTACTCATGTAATCAAAGTCCACATATATCAGACCATACAATTAATTCCCTGGCCCAGAAAGTGCAATTAATTTTGTTTTCTGGAATATCAACAGGTTTCCTTAGTTCTTCCTTGGGTCTCTTGCAGTTACTCTTCAGTGGTTGCATATTTTTATTGCACGTTAACTGTGGGAGACAGTAGGTGTCTTGTCAGCTGAGGGACAACCAGTGTCTTTGAATTTGATCTATTCAAATTTCAAACCGGTTACATAGACTTCTGGCAGTACCTACATACCAGTGTCATATTTAACCTACTTGTCCATAAAGGACAAAATAATGGGTTTTGGTATTAGTGCTTTTTCAGGTCTTTTCCTTTCCTTCTTTGGGGCAAGACTTTGGGCATAATTGTAAATTACAAAGTTATGTCTAAATGCACAGTTCATATGAAATATCAGACCAATTTTAATTTGGTTTTGTTCCTTTTAGAAAGCAAAGTGTAAAAACTAATGTTCCAGGAACTATCTGGAATCCTACCACCTACCCCAAATTCTGCACTAAAAGTACTAAAAATGAGAAGATGGTATTTTGTCCTTTTTAAAAAAAAAAAAAATCACAAAGAAACTATTTCCCTAAGAGAAGGTTGCTGGGGGGAGGGTTTAGAAACTTCTAAGCTACCTAGGCATTTGCTTCATGGCATCACAGCAGCAATGTGTTCAGCTCATGTGGCCTCCTTAAGAGCCAGCAGTGGCCTGTCTGGTCATTTTTGTCTCATTTGTCGCATTTGCAGCAGCTGTACTTTAGAATAAGCCTCGTGTGACATTTACTTTTGAGTGAGTAAACCACAAAAAATAACTTTTCTTTTTTGTTTGGGAAATGGTTGGGTTTTGTTTTGATAAATGTCATTCTGTGTTGCATTTGTGTATTCACCCTAGCTGAAAAGAAAATCTGTGTGTTTGGGAGTTCAGTGGAACATTAGCAGAAGAAATGAAGCCCACCATCTGGGCATGGATGTTGGGTCTAGGGGGCAAAATGGACCAAACTTGGGTGTTGGGTTATTTTGGGATGGTGGGGGGTACAGAGGGCATAATTTAAACTAACTCTGTCTAAAATAAAATGTAAGTGCAATAAATGTGCTTTTTTTTATTCAAAGCTGTGAACCTTTAGGGAAAAAAAAAAACACACAAAAAAAATCAACAAAAAAAATGCACATCATTCCTTCATGAGCCTTGTGTCCTACCTGCCTCCCCTTCCTCCCCCCGTCTCCACACTTCTCCTCAACTGACAGAAACCTGACAGTGGCCAACTTGCCTGTGTTGGCAGCCCAAATTAACATTGCTTCTTTTCTGATCTCATTTGTTGGGATTGGGGAAAGTCCTGCCCCCTGCTACCCTTGAAATCCCTCTGGGATCCAGTGCTGACCTGTGCAGCTAGAGCAGGGTCTACTGCTATTTGGGATGTACGCGCCAGCCCACCTGCGCTGTGGTCATCCTGACTGCAGGTGCAGTGTTCCTCCTGGCCCTTCATCCTCCAGTTGTAATTTCCCTCCCCACCTCGTGTCAGGTGTAGTGATGGTCTCCCAGGGCTGGGCAGGGGACATTTTTCTTAAGCAATTGCAAAAGTAATCAGTCATCAGCTGCCTAATTGGATCCCTCTTCCCCTTTGTCAAACCACACATGCAAGGTGGCCACTGTTGCCTTCTGTGACTCTGCCTTGTTTTGAAGGAGCAGGTATACATGTTTGTAATCTGTTGTGCATTACTTGCACTGTCTGTCTTTCTTACTTGAGCGCAGGCTGCTTTTCCTAGATTAGGAAAGGTGCACTGGTCTCTTGCGGGGGTTTCCACGAGAGGCGCAATGCATATGTTTCATTAAGAAGTGATGGAAGGTGTAGCACTCAGTAGTTGGACCCTATGGGGGAGTAAGAGAGGACTGGCTTGTTTAAAGTTTATAGATACACAGATCTATATCCTTTAAACTTGATTATTTTTATATATAGTCAAGACAATGGCATTACCTCATAATACAGAGGCTTGTTTATGAGAGGCAAAGTATCTAGTAAGGAGAGGAAAGGGAGATTTATATACAGATTTGATTTGTTTGTTTGTTTGTTCCTTAGTGCAATGAAATGTATGCCCCACCAATTTAAACTCTGTGCTAACACAACATTCCTTTCAGCTGTTTTTTGGTTTGTTTTTTTTTTTTGACCACCAGAGGTCTGTGAGGGGCTTATGACTGCAAAGTAGAAGGTCCAGTCTGGTTACTTAAAAAAAACAATTGTGTTAGTAGATTTCCATAGCTGCTTTTTAAAATCTACAATGGAGTAATTGTTTTGAAACTTGTATTTATTTTTTAATTCATAACAAAATGTTTGGTTTTGGTTTCCTGTTACATAGGTCATGGCAACTCCCCTTCTTTCCTTCTACAAGTTTCCCCTGTAATTGCCAATACAACTTATTTTTCTTGTTTGTTCCTTCCCCCTTTACTTTTGTTGTCCCTTCATTTGTACTTTGGAATTTTTCTCATGTAAATTTGTACAATGGGAAATATTGTCCAGTTTGGTTAGAGAGCATGGAGACTTAAAACATATTAAAATTTGATAGCTGAATTCAGATTGAAGAAAACTATTTCTGTGTAAAGTTATTTAAAGAACTCTGTATTATATAAAAGGCAAAAAGTTCTATGTACTTGATGTGAATATGAGAATACTGCTATAATAAAGATTGACTGCATGGAAAAGCCTGAAGGAGATTGTTTATCATGTAATTCACAACTCATCACCATGGAGTTCCAGAGGTGCAACTAAGGTGATTAAGGGGAGTGAAAAATTTACTTTGATGTTGTTGTTTTAGAATGTAACTCTAGAAGGAAAAAAGGGCTGGGGCGGGGGGGACACGAACAAAAAACCACTATGCAATGCCTGGAGAGTAACCCACCTCCCTTCATCTTCCTTACGCTGGACCACTGTGCTTGGCCCCAAGGCATTTTTACCATTGCAGAAGCTTTCACTTCACAAGGATTATTCTGGACTTTGGTAATATCCGAGGGTGATTTCCCCTCACCCTGGGGAAAGCTTGGTACCAGCTGGTCTAGGTTCTCTTCAGGGTAACTTCCCCTGCTTCTATGGCAACTGTTATTCCAGTTGCTACTTGGTGACAAGATTTCAGTGAAATGTCTTTCAGTTAGCTTCTCTGCAGCTCTAACACAAGTTTTATTTCTCCCCTACCCTTTTAGTGATTATTTGACAGAGCTTTAATGATGGGATTCTTACCTACTGTGCACTTGTGGAAGTTTTAAATCATGGATAAATCACCTTATTTCTTGGGGGCAGCACATTATATATCAAGCAAACATTACAGAAGCTCATGTGGACTCAAGTACCCTGCCTCTGCAGCCATAATGTTCAGCCTCCAGAAATCCTACAGTAGGTACTCAAAAACAAGGTACAATTTAGTTTAGAGTTTGCTTATGGTTAACTTTTATTGAAATAAGGATGGAGGAGCCAAAGCTTTGGTTCCAGGGGCCTCTTTCGTCCCAGGGACCTGCAAGTGACAGAAGAGAATCCTGAGAACCTTTTCACCCGTCCTTTTCCCACCACCAAGAGCAAGGGAAGGACCTCCTCGGTGGCACCCGTGCTGCCTTCAGCAGTAGTTGAAGCTGTAGAGCCATAACATGACACAGCAGCTTAAGAGAAAGGGTAATTAAAAGAACCAGAAATGAGCAAAAGCCTGAAACCTTTAAGGGGAAAACTGCACAGGTGTCTCTCTCTCTAGAAAGAGAGACAGCATGTCCTTAAGGTTAGGTAATGCTGGGTCTACAGAATAGCACAAAAAAATAACTTTGAACTGGTAGCAGTTAAGCTGCAACTCCTCAAAAATTAGGTTGTTAGAGTGTAGGCTTATATTGCCAAAACTAGGCTACCAGGACTCGAGTATTCAGGTACCTGAGAAGAAGAGTGTGTGAAGGCAATAAACGGTGCAAGCAAACAGTTGCACTCTGTGCAACAGTGGTTTGGCACATTAACCTTTGGAAGCACACAAATAATTGCTGAAAGTAGGGTACTTCTAGCAGTACCAAGAGAAGGCAGCCAGAAAGCAGGGCCAGGCACGATGCCCTAGCACCGTATCACAGCCGGGACCTTTGAAGCAAAGCTTAAAGCATGCTCCAGACTGCGTGAGGACCGGTGACTGCATTTACTGCCCTTTAAAGACAAAGCCCAGCCCGGCTGCAGCCCCCGGGGGCCGTCGGGTCCGTTCGAGGAGGGGCGGCAGCCGGCGTACCGGTGTACCGCGGCCGGCGGCGCCTATTCCGCGTCGTCCGGAGGGATGCCCAGCTCCTCGTCCGTCCAGGCCGAAGGGTCGGGGTAGGGGAAGTGGCCCTGGGAGAGAGGCACGGTCAGAGCCCGGACAAGGCCCCGGCCCCCGCTCCCCCCGCCCTGAGCCGCGGCGGCCTCACCAGCACCGCGTCCGAGCTGTGCCAGAAGTGCCAGAAGATCCAGAACCACATGAAGCCGCTGAGGAGCTCGCTCCGGATCACCTGCGCCCGCGTCAGCTCCGGGAACTGCCGGTACCGCGGACGGATGTGCACCCCGCCGCCCGCGCTGCAACAAACGCACCGCCG